TAGAAAAAGTAGAATACGTACTGCATGTCGTTCAATAAATCATTCACACTCAATCTCACAAGAATGTTGATTAAATGTGATTGTGAAAAAAGAGTCAAAATACGAAATTATTGATCGTTAAAGAGATATTGTCGTACCTTTACTCTCTGTTGATGAACCGCTACAATTGCAAATTTTATACTTTCACATAACAGACAGGTACATATCAGACCAAAAAACATGTTTGGGTGACGTTGAAGAAACTCCTTAAGGTGGTCTATAAGTAGGTCATCGAAAACATCGTTGAACGTTTTAATCCACTCATTCTGACTTAGAAATTTGTAAATGTACCGTTGCAATACAAATTATTTCCTCTTATTGATATATTACAACTAAACATTGTTTTGTACAAACAGCTTTCGTCTATCAACAACAAACCTTTTTTAAATAGCATTAGCACTAGCTTGAGTAAAAGAAAGATAACGTAACATTTTCCAATTTGAATGAAATGGCACCATTTTGTTGGTGTCGATTCAATTCAAGCGAAATGTTCATTTCTATTTTTTTGTTACCTCTTGAATATAAGGTTGTAGGTAAATGGGAAAATTACTCTGATTTATAGCTGGATCAGAACAACTTATTGACCATAAATAACTCTTAAAAATATGAAGACAAAATTTTGTAGGCATTAATTTAAGTTTGGGATTAAATGCACTTTAAAATGACTTCAGCTTTTCCGGTTTGAATGAAATAGCATTTTTATTGACAGTCGAATTTGATATGAGACGTGACGGTTTTCGCATTGTAAGAAATAACGCGAAATGTTCATTTGTATTTTTTTATTACTTGTCGAAATTAAGGTTATAATTGGTGAAGTTACTCTGATTTGGACCTGGACCAATACAACTTATTGGTCACAACGAACTCTTAAAAAAGTGAAGACAAAATTTTGTTGACATTAGTTTATGGTTAGAATTAAATTCACTTTAAAATAGTCTAAAATATTATTAAAAAGAAACTAGTAAACATTAATAAAGATTTTAAAACTTTCGCTGAAGGTAATACACATAATATAATTCATGTCACTTTTGAAAGGTAAAATACTCTTTGAAAAAATAACCTGCTATAATCAAACTTGTAGGTAGAAGTTTGATCTTTTCATAGCTCCAAGGGTTTGCAGACCTGAGTATTTGATATTAATTTCAACTTGATACCTTCACGCGTTCCTGAGAAAAGGATCTTGACAGGCAGACGGACAGGTGAACAACGAAGTAATCCTAAAAGGGTTCCTTTTGAGGTACGGAACCCTACAAAAACAATAGGCAGGTAAAAGTTGGTCTGTGTTCTGTCGGAGTTGCCTGCGATGCGCTGATGAGATCCAAAAAGATCGAAATCGCGATCCGCGTCTGGCAGTTTCGACAGAATACAGACCACTTCGAATTATTTTATTCGATTAAGCTAACGTGCCTATCACGTTGAGGTTGGCTACGCCGGGATTCGTTTTCAGCAATTGGATATCCACACAAGTGGACCTTGTTGGAGCATACGTAATCCTAAAATGTAGCATCGTGCTACAGATGGCGTTTACTGCGCCATTTGTAGTATTTTCTAAAATACTTATTTTAAGTTTATTACTTATTCTTAATCCTCTAAATGTGATTCTACTATTTTATAGTTTTTCCGTTTAAAAGTTGGCAATATTAAAGTAAAAGCCTATCATTTTAATGTGCATACCATACATTCTAAATAAATAAAGTGATTTCATTCATTACAATATTAGTTTTGAGTGGTTGTGTAGTATTATCACTCCTAACATCAAATGGCAGCTTGCTCCACTTCCGTCCAAGTCCATTAATAAATAGAAGCCTAATGCATGTATAGTTTCTATGAGGACTACTAGATTAATAGATAAGGATTCAACAACCTCACTTTTTATAAATCCAAACTGTGGCCTTTTAACAACAAAACAAAGATCGTTATTGATGTTCAATAACATTGCCATCTCAGAATATTCAAGATCATTATACCTACATGATCGCACACCCTAATATTTTTAAAGGTCACATGTCTCAAGCATATGTTGCACCGAATCCAACTTATTAATATATATTTTATATGTAAGTACCTATGTATAGCATATTAAGGTAATCGGGTTCAATTCCCGGACGATTCAACAGTACTTTTTTTCTTTATGTTAATTAAAATGAAGAGGTATTAGAGAGAATAGGGAACAGAGGACTCTATGGAAGTCAATAAGAAATAGGCGAGATAGGATAGTAGGACACTTTCTCAGGAATGAAGGTCTAGTTAGAAACATATTAGAGGTAGAAACGGGAGTTAAAAAAGTGAAGACAAAATTTTGTTGACATTAGTTTATGGTTAGAATTAAATTCACTGTAAAATAGTCTAAAATATCATTGAAAAGAAGATTCTTAAATTAAGGTTACAATTGGAAAAGTGCACATGTTTCGAAACCTACATTAAGTTTGCCCTCGTATACTTTATTCAGAGACCGGGTTAGAATAATAGACTATAAAATGAAAAAGGAACAATAAAGAAGGAAACAATTATATGTATATGTGATAAAAGGAGGTCCTGTTTTGTTTACCGTCGACACCGATGCAATGGAGCACGAAACAAGAACGATGAGAAGAATCCGTGTTAGAGAGATAGAATGGCAAAAAAGGGAATTGAAACGTGAGAGAGAGTAATTCCGATTCTTCGTAAAATTACTTTCATCGGCCCTGCACTACTACTGGCTGACAATGAAATAACTACAGAGAAAGTAAAATGTTGAAACTACACTTTGATTGAAAATAGCCGAACAAATAACCAACAATATTTGCATGCATGGCTTATTAATTAGTAATTGTATTAAAAAAAAAATGTTCGTTGATTATATTTTGTTTAGTTTTTAATGTTTTTTTTATTTCCAATTCTTCTAGGAAATCTGGACGTTTTCTTTTTTGTTGTTGAATGTAATAAAGTGAACATTCTCCAAATCGTTGAAATAATCGTTGTCTAAACAATGTGTTGACATTTCAGTGTATTTCTTTAGTATTTAAAATTCGGAAATTTTATTTATAATACGTCTACCACTGTGACCAATATAGAAATCTTCACAATTTATGCAAATAATTTTGCATACTGCTAATGTGTTGAATTTATTTTGTTTTACTAAGAGATACTCTTATTTATTTGCAGAATTTATTTATATCTAATGAAATCCTACAAAAGACGGGTAAACGCCATCTGTAGTACAATGCTACAATTAGTGGAATTTGCTTAACAGGTCCATCTAAATATATGGAATATTACTGAACTGAATCCACGATATAGCTTTACCCTACTACGGTAGACTGTTGCCAAAATCGAACAAAGAATATCGAAACTGTCAGATGCGGATCGCGATTTCAATATTGTTGAACCTCATCAGTGCGTCGCAGACAGTTTTGACAAAACACAGACCAACTCTACCTGCTTCCTTAATAACGCGTTTAATGAAATCCTACAAACGGCGCGTAAACGCCATCTGTAGTACAGTGCTACAATTAGCGGAACCCTTAACGGGTCTACCAAAATATATGGACTCTTGTTGAACTGAATCCATGACGTAGCTCACCTTACAATAGACAGTTACTAAAATCGAACAAAGAATATCGAAGTGGTCAGTATCGAAATCGCGATTCGCGTCTGGCAGTTTCGACGGAATACTGGCCACTTCGATACTCTTTGTTCGATTTTGGTAACTGCCTATCGTAGGGTGAGCTACGCCATGGATTCAGTTCATCAAGAGGCCATATATTTAGGTGGACCTGTTGAGGAAGTTCCACTAATTGTAGCATTGTACTACAGATGGCGTTTACGGGCCGTTTATAGGATTTCATTAAACGCATTGTTAAGGAAGCAGGTAACGTTGGTCTACGTTCTGTCAATGCTGTCTGCAGTGCGGTGATGAGTTCAAACTAGATCCAAATCGCAATTCGCATCTGGCTGTTTCGACGTAATTACCGCTACTTCAATATTCTTTATTCATATTTATTTAAAAATTTAAAACATGTTCCACAGGTAGGTTTTCTCGTATACAAAAACAAAATGAAATTGTAGAGTTTAAGTTTTGCAGTTTGTTTTGAAAGTCGATTAAATAAATTATACAATATGAAATAAACAAAGAAGGGGTAACGCTCTTTCAAAAATTTCTGTTCGTGCCTCGAAAACAATATAAACCAAGTTATGTTATTTGCAATATTTTCACATACCTAGTATATGGGTTTATTTAAAAGCATTACAAATTCTTGCCTATACCTTTACAAGTACATTTATACAAAAACCACAGCCTTTTTAGAATTCTCAACAGGCGAATGATATGTATTACGTACACAAATGAAGAAAGAATAATTTGTTTTCAGGGTGATACATAAAGTCGAACGTTTCGGCTAACATAAACAGGTATCAAGGTACTTACAAACTGTTACGGAAAAATCACACCCTTGCATTCAAATTATATGAAATAAAACTTGTTTTTTCTTATTTTTTATCACTAGTACTGCCTCCAACGAATACCATTTTCAAGCGATTCAAAAATATGAATGTTACACTAAACGGTCCGTTTTTGCTGAACGTTGTAGGAAGCTAGGTACCTTCTGCAAATGTTGGGAAAGAGTGACTTAAATGTATTACAATCGTATTAGTTTTAAATGATATGAATATAATAGCATACAAAAATAATCCATTAACAAATACGTAATGCTGAAATAGCTTAAACTTTCACGGCCGGTGCTCATTATTAGGAAATTATTTTAAAGACTTGCTGATCGTGATCTTGGAATCGTCGTTTATTTGTTAATTGTTCCTTTTTATCTTCCAATAAACACAAATATATGGAGAATAAAAATTTTAAGAATATCTGTCACTTTTCTTACGCTCATATCAAGTGCCGCTTAATTTTAATTTTTGAGATATAAACGCTAATATAATAATAAATGTGTAATTTTAAACTCAACAAATTTTACTTGTTACAGGTTTAGAAAGTATAGAGTCCACTCCTAGGTTACGAAGAGAAACACCAAACGGTGAGTAGTTCTTCTTTTTTTTTATGGGTAATTTCGTCACATCTAATATAGGTCCATCTAAATACGCAAATTGTATTATAGTAGATATATACATAGCACGCAATAATATTGTAACTGCTTTACTTCGTATTCCTAATAATAATTGCACCTGTGTTTGATTTGATAACAATGCGTTTTTTATATATATGTTACCGGAAATGTATGAAATCCGTCATTGTAAACAATTCCTAGGAAATGTATATAATTCCTACAATCGTCCGGAAATGTGTGAAATAAATTATATTAGACACATTTCCTAGGAAATATATGCATTTCCTAAATAGCAATCGGAAATGTATTACAAGTAATACTAAATAGGCAATAATAAAGCAAGCTGTTTGGAAATGTACCTATATCCATTGGTGACGTCATTGTTTGGTTAGGGAGATTTATGACAGACTTTATTTTTAGTATGTTGTAGAGGTGATAATGCTGATCATTTTGAACGCGGAGATCATAATGAAGCATACTTTTCAACATATCAGCCAGCCTTCGGCGGGCAGAGCCATTAATGAAACTCCAGTCTGTCATAAATTTACCTAATAACCATACAATAACGTCACTAATGTATAAACATCTCGAAACCTAACCTAACCAAACAATAACGTTATCAATGCATATACATCAGGCGATCGCATTAGAACAGCGTAAACAGAGATAACTCTGATTCTCTGTTTTATTGATTTTATTCAGATAAAGCCATAGTTGTATACATTTCCGTGGATATGTGTGTATTAAAAAAAATCTTTGAAACAATATTTTATACATTTCCTAAATAGCCTCGGAATTGTATACAATTGATAGATTTCATACATTTCCGGTAGCAGATACAATAAATGTATTAGCAAAGAAGCTGGGCAATAGTAAAGGCTGTTTTTAGACCATGCTGAGATCGAAAGGAAATATATTACTCTTAAACTGAACAGAGTACTTCATTTTTAACTTCCCATTAGGAAGTTATTGTAATTGGGTCGAAAAGTGAAATCGGAATTTTCATTATATTTCCACGTTTTAACATATTAGTAGCATGCTAGCCAATTTTTTTGATGATGTGTGTATGTACGTACGTACGTACGTACGTACGTACGTANGATAATGCTGATCATTTTGAACGCGGAGATCATAATGAAGCATACTTTTCAACATATCAGCCAGCCTTCGGCGGGCAGAGCCATTAATGAAACTCCAGTCTGTCATAAATTTACCTAATAACCATACAATAACGTCACTAATGTATAAACATCTCGAAACCTAACCTAACCAAACAATAACGTTATCAATGCATATACATCAGGCGATCGCATTAGAACAGCGTAAACAGAGATAACTCTGATTCTCTGTTTTATTGATTTTATTCAGATAAAGCCATAGTTGTATACATTTCCGTGGATATGTGTGTATTAAAAAAAATCTTTGAAACAATATTTTATACATTTCCTAAATAGCCTCGGAATTGTATACAATTGATAGATTTCATACATTTCCGGTAGCAGATACAATAAATGTATTAGCAAAGAAGCTGGGCAATAGTAAAGGCTGTTTTTAGACCATGCTGAGATCGAAAGGAAATATATTACTCTTAAACTGAACAGAGTACTTCATTTTTTTTATAGTAATTTCTTAGTTCAAATAACAATTTTCAATTACCTACACGTAAAGAATTGAAAATATCTCACAAACATAAGCCTGAAAGCATTTTTTAAAAGTTTGTTACTCAATTATTAAAGAATAACAACTTATCGCTCGGAAATCTATCGAAATTTCCACAAAGCCGACGTTGCTTTGTAAAAGCCAATTGATCTATCAAGCGATACAGAATTATGAGCAGCATACTGCCATCTGGTGGTAGTGACTGCTAACTATGGACAAGATCTACCACTGTAAAGAGCAATATTAAAATTACCAAGCGTAGATTGTGATTTTAAACGTGTTATTTATCAAGTTATGCACATCAGTTTACGTTTCGAACATACTAATACTTAGTAGATAGATATTCTTTTAATTAAAAAAAAAATTGAAATAGTACCTGCTCTCTGCACTTCACATCTTAAATAATTAAGAAATTGGAGCAATGCATTCAAATTCTATATGATTTTTTTACTAGGTAGAACCATAATTGTTTTTTAAAAATATAAATCCGACTTCAAAAAAACTTTCAATCACTAAAAATACAATAGCAGACACTCTTTTTTGTACCCTTAACACTACTTGTACCTGGAATAATTTCTTCAAATTCAAATAATTCAATAAAAAAATCATTAAAATTGATTCACAATAGGAAAAGAAATCACATACCCCTAAAAAAATAGTGAAATTTATTCCTCCTTTTTGTAAAATGTAAATAAAATAACGTAGAAAGTTTCAACTACTTAATATATTTTACAGTCTACATTAAGAATGTTTTTCCCTCAGTGTTATATTACTCCTACTTTTCTTTTTTGAAATCAACAAAAAGATACCAGACTTTACACAACTACAAAAAGTAACTACAGAATAGTTTTCTTTTAAACTCAGAATTAAATTTACAAACAGCCCTTGGCTCAGCTTCTTTAAATCGTTACAACAAAGCTATCAATAAAATTATGCACTTAAATAATATTTTCAAAATGAATCGCATTATTCGCAGTTACAATCTCATTAAAATGCGATAGAGCATAATCGACGCAAGAATCAGCAATATTCAATACGTGCAGTGGTATTGCTTCATAGCATGCTAGATGCTGTTAATAGATTTGGATGGAGAAATTGTAAATAATGTAATGCTTCGTGGGCTTTAAATAACTTTTCCGGTATAAGTATTCTTGTGGTAATCCTTCCTTCTCAGGAGTTTGGCCAGGTACCTACTGCTGAATACATATCGGTAATGATGCGACATCAGTATCTGGATAAATGTCCAAAATGGTTGGATTACTGCAACAGTAATAGTCCAGGCTGTAGAGATAAGGAGCTCAATCTTGGGCTAACATCTCAAAATTTTTATTAGGATGCTACGTTGTAAAGGGCAATAAAAGATGTCCTTGTATGAATGCGACTCGTAACTTCTGGCTATTATTTTTTTTGTTGTAAAATACCCGTTTTTTCAATTTTTTTCATTCTATAGGCGAACGAAGTGGTTGTATTGAAAACAGTTCCACATAAAAATTGTAGATAACTCAATAATCTTCAATTTCATTCGTGAAAAATTCAATTCGTTCCAATGTTATTACAAAAACGGTTAAAACAATTTACAACTGGAAGTTTCTATTGATGTTTTAAAATTAGAAGAAGTGGCCGATTTTAGGTATCTAGGAAGTCAGATAAGTCAGGACGGAAGGAGTAATAGGAATATAAAGCAAAGGATAGCGCAGGGTCGAGTCGCCTTTAATAAAGAGAAGTCACTTCTATGCTAGCGAACGGTTAATTTAGAAATTCGAAAAAGGTTGTTAAAGGTTTATGTTTGGAGTGCGGTGTTGTACGGGTGTGAAACATGGACAGTGGACGTGGAGGAAAAGAAAATGTTAGAAGCGTTCGAAATGTGGTGTTGTAGGCGAATGATGAGGATAACGTGGATAGAAAAGGTTAGAAATGAAAGAATAGGAGAACAGAGGACTCTATGGAACTCAATAAGAAATAGGCGAGATAGGTTGGCAGGACACCTTCTCAGGCATGAAGGTCTAGTCAGAGACATACTAGAGGCAGAAACAGGAGTTAGGAGGGGTAGAGGTAGACCTTGATTAGATTACTGTTCGCAAATAGTTAAGGATGTGGGTTGTTCTAGTTTTAGGGAAATGCGAAGTTTAGCTCAGGATAGGAAAGAGTGGAGATACGTGTCCAACCCGTCTTAGGATTGACAACCTTATGATGATGTTGTACGATGTATAACAGATGTTCCCGCTCTAATTGTAAATGTTTATAACAAAAAAGTACCCCCTTTTTAAAGCCATAGATAAGGGGTTAAAAATATTTTTTAGCACTGTTTTTCATTACAATATGAAAATACAAGTTTTCAAGAAAATAATCCTACTTGAAAAGTTTCTGTCTTTTTAAAAAACAAGTCTAAAACAATAAGTATTTGACGTCTCAGTATACACAATTTAGTATCTCTTCAATTTTATTTACAATAGTTACAAGTCGCATTCATATACCTAGGCCTAGCCGTATCTTCTTTCAACGTAGTGTAAATCCCTCCGAAAGCTTATAGCCCTGGCTTCCATAAGCTCTATAATATAACATACTGGTATATAACCGGAAAAATATTTGTAAATACGTATTAAATTGTACTATAAATTGGTTTGTGTAATTTTTTGGATTGTGGAAAAGGTACATATCTAAGGCCAATCACAGAACTCCACATATCATAATGCACTTCAAAATAAGAATTCTAAGGTGTTGTGCGAAAACTGGCAACGTGGTGAGTAGTACGATAAAATTTGCAATAACATTGATGACGAATGAAATAAACTGTGCCAGTTATCGAACGTCTAAGATACAAATAATGTTTAGACCCTTAATACAAAGAAAATTAATTAAATATGTAGATTTGTTCATCGCTGACTGCATAAATTACATCTCAATATGTATTATGAACACAAAATAAAAGAACAGACAGACACATGAGTGATCCTACCAGGGTTCCGTTTGTCCGAATGAATAACCCGAGAACCAACTTAACATTTTAGTTAAAAAAAACATGTTGAATCACATTTAATCTAATCTAACAAATAACAAACAATACATGAGCAAAAAAAACACACACACACACTGATGCTGCTAATTACCAGCTGATTGAATACGGCGTTGCGTTGTCGTATTTCATTCTACGGCAGGAATTAATTCTCCTGTTTTATAATACCTTATCACCTCCTGTACGCTTGCTACATGTTTCAGAAATAATTTTTTTTTGTTGTATTGATATTATTTAGATATTTCATTAATGTCCAATCAATACTGACTATAAATCAATTTTTCCAGTCATACAGTGAAATCTTCAAGTCAGGCTTATATTCATTATTTTCTCTCTTCAATACAAAGAATGGGATGTTCTGTTCGCACAATGTTTTCTTACCAATTCTGTCGATATCGACTGTTACTAAACATAATATATGAGTAAGTGATTCATCCCATTTTATAAAATTCATTATTGAAAAAACACTTTCACAAAGATAGGTACAGCCATTTAAATTTGTTAGAATTGTGACCTTGAAGAAATCTGCGCGAAGATAGAATGAATACACACTAGGCGTGAGCAAGACAGAAATGGTTGGAACAAGCTTGAACGAGCAGAGCTCTCGATGGGCTGTCTTAGGAGATCGGCTAGAACTGTACAGTACTAGACTAAAATGTTTAACAATTTCTTAAAAGAAAAATGTATATAAATTAACAATAGAAAACAAAGCAAAAGTTTTATAGGTATGTAGAACGTTATGTTAATTCACTTATTATTTTTGGCTAAATATGCTTTTAAATAAATCTCACTTTAAATAATTTTGCAAATGGTACTGTACACTTTTGTCTAGTTCTCGCTCGATGATCGGTAGAGAAATGAGCTCCGCAGACAAATATGATTGAATTTGGAATTATGCTACGGCGCATCCTAATAAAGGGAAGGGACATATCTCTAACTTCTTGAAACCAACAGTACCCATGTGTTTTCAATCAAAAAATGTGTCAGTGTCGCAGACATATTAGTACTTAGTGCACATGAATAGGACGACGCCGACGCTATTTCGTGAACCACTCAGCCACATCATGATATGCTAAATTCTTCGATTGGCCTTCGACGTGTATGCCCATTATTTTAACTACGGCATGTTATTGCTTTCTTGTCATAATTGACAAAAGTACAATTTTAATATTTAGAATAGAATTTTCTACGTCTCTAAAACATTCGCTTTCGAGGTTTGTCATCGAATAATTAAAATATTTCATATGAAATATATTTAAATATTTATATTTTTTTATTTTCAATAAATTCCACTATTGCGTCAATAGGTATGATTTAATTTAATGTGTTTGCTTGTATACATAAGTTAGGTTATTCGTTGACCAGCTTCGCATACCTACTTTTGTATAAACTGTTTTATTTCTATCTTTTCTGACTTGGCCTGTAGATGTCACAACAGTATTACTGGTGGATAATCAAGGACGCAATTCGTTCGGCCGTTTCCTGAACGTAAAGCCGGACTTAGGCTTAATAACCGCGACAGCCCGAACCTTTATCCAGGAGGGCGTGACTACCGAGTACGCCACCCAGGTGCTCGGCACGACCCTTGACAATGGACGTTTGTACGCACACTTATTGACGAAAAGCTCCCGAGTTCTGTACGACAGCGATACACCAACAACTCGTGCTAACTTCAGTCCGTCTAGCAGCAATAATGTTAACGCAGATCCTAAATCCCCACCCAGCAGTTTAAATTTCGTTAAAAATACCGACTACATACCACCAAACAAAGTTGAACCTTTTGTCGTATTCCCAACTGTGACCTCATACAACACGTTTTCTGATCCTACAAAGCTTGATGCCCGTTCGAAAGAATCTGAAAATGACGAGTCCTTGCAATTGTTGCCGTCGAATAATGCAAGAATTCCATTCCCCGAAACTAACAACTGGAACAATAAAAACGTTAAGGTCTTCCAAATAACTCCCAAACATCAAGATATGCACCTCCAAAATGACAAAGAAATTGCAAAAAGTAAAATTAATGAAATAGACGACGTTGAACCATCAAAAGTAAGAGCTAGAAATGATCTTCCCACGTTTACAGTTCGAAATGAATTTTCACCAAGTGGGTTTTCTATCCTGGGCGACTGGCCTGATTTCGACACCAACACCGAACGATCTAAAGCAACAACGGCAACTGAAAGAAAGGCTAAATTTCTTTTACGTGCCGGTGTACCGCCAAAGAAAGACTTTACTACAGTTACGTACAAGGGTTTCGCAGATTTCACAACAACTGTCGGAGACACTGTAATTATATTCGCCCCATTTACTCCAGAAGTCCCTAGATTCGATGTAGGAAAAGTAACTTCAATTTCGGTAGAAGCTACTCTAAGTCCGACATCAGACTCTACGAAAATTCGGCCTTCATTTTCATTATCTCCCAGCAAAGGAGAACCTACCAGCATACCATCATTACCGGAAACCAAAAAACTCCGACCAGGATTAACAATTTCATCTATAACTCGAGACAGTTCTACAAAGATACGTCCTTCCTTTCCATCTAAGAATAGAGAGCAACAACTTCGAACGCTATTTCCTAAAATTCCTAGATTAACCACCAAACAGACAGAGCCAACAACAGAATCAACAACCGAAAGTACTACAGAAAGCACAATCGAAGAAAACGAAGAAGAAACTACAACAGAACCAATGCAAGACAAACCAGAAAGAGACCAATCTGTGTTTCCTACTAAAGTAATTGACGCTAAAGACAGACCGCAAGAAAAACAAACAGAAGACCCTCAACAGCATGAAGATATAGAAGCAAAAATGTCGGTCCTTGCACATGAACAACAAAACAATGAAAATGATAGTAAATCTACTTCGCAAATAGATTCCTCATTCCTTACCGAAACTGATCAATTTGTCGAAGGTACTCTCTCACCTCAAGCTATACAACCTTCACAAACCCAATTTCCCATGCTTACAACTCCTTCTGATGAAGACATCGCTAAAATTTTAGCTTCTTTGCAAGCCCAGCAAAATAACAAGCCTACACAACCTCTATCATCTCCTGTTCAAAAAACTACAGATATTAAGGAGTATAAGCCAACACCTACGATTCCGTCATCTGATATAGCTACCTCGTCAAGTACAGCAAAAGTCACTCTATCTACTCCCTCTCATGAAGATATTGCAAAAATTTTGGCTTCGCTTCAAGCTCAAGAAAACGATAAAGCAACTGAGCCATTACCTAAAGAAACCGAAAAATTAGTTACAGATTCTCCGTCATCTTCTCTTGATAAAGAAACTAGAATCCTGGGAGGAGCAACAACTATATTTTTCGACAACGATCCATTTGCAACATCTGTTTTTGAACAAACTTCTTCTATCACAAACTCTGAATTGCAAGTGGTACAAACTACAACCGAAAAAACAGCAACTACTACTGAAAAGTCTACAGAAAGTAAAATCACTACAAACGATGAAGAAATTGCTACTTCGCCATTACCTCCAACCACTGAAGCAGAACCAGAAAAAGAAAATGAAAATCCATCTTGCTCCAACGGTCATACCATAATTCCAGCAACAGTTTATAATACGTTAACGTACCTTACCACTTTATTCTTCCCAGATGAAGAATCAACTTCAACTTCCATACAATCCGAAGAAGTAACTTCAACGCAAGTAAATTATCAAACAGTATGCATAAACGAGTTGAACATCTCACCAACCGTTGTTTCAGAAAATGTGGCAACGACACAAACAATTCGCTTGCAAAATTCTTTATCGCAAGAAACTACACTTTCTACAGAAACACCAGAAGAACATACTACTGCAGAAATGAATTTCGAAACAACTCCCGAAGAAACAACACCTATAATAACCACAACTGAAAATCAAGATACGACAGAATCAGAATCCGAAACTACAGATTCTGATGATAACGATAATGAAGATGATGACGATGAAATCGAAGTAATCTACAAAACACTTTATACCACATACACATATTTAACAACGTATTATGATGGGGACGTCTCGTCCATTGATAGCAGGAAAGAAGTTATTACCAACGTAATAACATCCACGTTAGATCCATCAAATGATATTTCAGATCCAGCAGTTGCGGGCCTTTTTGAAAGAGAGGATAGTCTTGTTTCGAGCTATAAATCAAGACCTCCAACGTTTGATGATATCTCCAACATTACACCAACAAGTGTTTTACAGGTTAAACCAACAGAAACTAACATTATTACCGAAGATGATAATGAAAATCGAATTCCAGATCAAGAATATTCCAAACCAACCCCTACACTTGATGATGTCAAAGGGGTGAAAACCTATTATACAACATATACTTATTTCACCACCATTTTCGTAGATGGAGAAACTGAAATATCTAGTCGCACCGAGGTTTATACAAATTATGTTACTCCAAGTTTAGATCCTCATGCTGTTATAAATGAAATTGGTAACACTGAATTACCAACACTGACAACTCCAAATCCTGAAGAGGAAAACGAAGACAATATACACAAACCTGCCAGTTTCAATGTTACCCCGAGTAACGCATATAGCAGTACAATAGAAAGACGAAAACCGTCTGAAACAGAAACTACTTCTTCAGAAAACCTAAGTACCGCCCTGACGGTTGCAACTCCACAAATTGATGACAATCTACTTGCTAATCTTAAAGAATACAGTGCTATATCAACAGTTGTTCGTAGCAGCACTTCAACGAGCAAAAAAAGATTAGCTGATAATGTTGATGCTCGTAACGTACTTGATGATCAAATCGTCGCTGAATCTAACAACGAATCAGAAATAATGCCTTCGCCAACATTGTTACTGCAAACAAGTTACACTACCTTCACATACTTCACAACTATCTACCAAGGTACCACTGGAAGCAGTATTAAGAGTCGATTGGAAACCATTACGAATGTAGTAACTGAAACTGTTTCTCCCACGCAAACAATAGCTGCTGACGATCCAAATGAACCAATAACATACTTCACAACGTTTACCTATTGGACAACTTTCTACAAAGATGGATCAACTTCAGTAACTACCAGAGAAGAAACAATATCAAATGTTGTAACACCGACTGTTTCTGATTCAACTGCCACACCAGTAATAAATATTTCCCCTATATCGTCTACACCTTCGGTGGAAATAGTACCTAGCAAAGCTGTTTTGGAACAACCAGTTTCGGAAACAGCAAATGAAAACTTAACAACTTTCTATACAACCTATACTTATTATACGACGTCTTTTATTGGCAATGATACAATTTTAAATAGTCGTCTTGAAACTATAACCAATGTCGTAAATGGCTCAAATGATAATGAAGAAACAACCAATTTTACTCCAGCTGAAGAAAATACTACAACTGAAAATAACGAAGAAGGCTCTTCACCACTAGTTGGACTATTATCAACAATACAATCCACTGTAGATAATGAAGGTACCAAAACTGTGTTTTCTACGGGGATATATGGTACATATATCGATGGTCAATATGCACAAGTATTAGAAAGCACTTCATCCATATTGACTGAACCGATAGTTCCTACACCTGTTCCAGAAAAATCCCTTAAACCTACAGGAATTGTGAGTCTAAATCAGGGAAAAATTATAGATGCGGATGGTGTAAGCACATTGTTCTACACTACTCAAGCAATTGGTACTTATGTAGATGATTCATATGCGCAAGTCATCGAGAGCACAAGTTCTTTAAAAATTGATGAAGATAAGAAAGCTGCTTTGGCAGCTTCCTCAACGCCTAGTGTTCATCGAACCGGTCTTGTACGCATAGTAGAGGGATCTATTGTACAAAATGATACGACCACAATGTACCAATCAAAGGTCATAGGCACTTTAATCGACGGAAGGTATGCACAAATAATTGAAAGTACATCCAGTTTCATTGTCGACAAAACCAAAGCTCCATCAATTAAACCAACTAACGTTAACGAAATTGGTACATCTGCAACGGAAGCGCCCCAATTGAGTTCCCCAGGCTTCATTACACCTTCACCAGTGGCGATAGAAAGCTCCATAAGCGATAACGGTGAAGAAGGTGCAGGTGAAGGCGAGGAAGATGAAGAAAATGATGACGAAGACGATAAAGACAGTAGAGGTAGGAAAAAGTCCCGTCTAACTTTCCAAACACGTAAAAGAACTTTCACGCCTGCCATAAGACCCTTCGCATCAAGAACCCGTTCCACATTCTCGCTTCGCCGCAAAAATCTAAGTCAAGCAACTGCAGCAACAATCACTAGGAGTGACTTTACACCCACAGTTACAGCTGTTCCTGCAGGTAAAACGGGAACTCGTTTCGGTTCTAGAAGAAGTTCAACGAATGCCGCTGTTCAACCAACAGCCTCTGGAGGACGTCGTTTTGCCCGACCAAAATCTACAAGTGCAGCAAATAATACAAAAGCGAAATCGTCACAGAAAGTTCAACCAACAGCAGGCCCTCGAAGAGGCGGATTCAGAAGTTCTGCGGCAATAAAGCCATCTTCTTCGTACGCTGGTAACAGCAGGTTTGCGAGAATTAGACCTACTGCTACTGCTTCTGGCCGTTTATCTAACACTAGACCAATAACGTCTCCTTCAAATGATATAAATGACGATGAAAATGACCTGACAACTCAAATAACTGAAAGTCCTACTGACGCAACTGATGAAGAAAATGAATCAACTTTACCTCTGACTCCTGTAACCGAATCGTCCAAACGTGCTCAAAACCCGCTACTAAAATTCCGCAGACCTCCTTTCTCTCGTCCATCATCTCTTACAAAAACAGCAACGACTACTAAGCCTGCGACCCGAAATGCGAAATCAAGCAAGAAAGCATCAGCAACAACTACAGCGAAACCTAAGGCAGCTGTGAATAGGCCTGTCGGAAATGTGCAAGCGAGGTCTAGACCGGGAAGTAATCTATTCCCACGAAGAAATCTCTTCACGACCACAACAACAACAAACCAGCCAGAACAAGGAGAAGAAGAGGAAGAAGAAGAATTACAACTAGAAGACGAAGGTCAAGAAGGAGGAGATGAAGAAGATACTGACTACGAAAGTAGTAACACGGAAACACGAACAGAAAATGCTCCAATTGCAAACAATTCTCCATCATCTAGAAGGGAACGGACTTTCAATGGCGTTTCTGTAAGACCGTTTAGATTTAGACAACGTTCAAAACGTGACACCTTTTCACGATTTCGACGACCCAGGGCAAGACCGACAAAATCATCGGAAGTGGTAGACAGCTCCGAATCAGCTGAAACTACAACAGCTAAACCAACGAAACCCAGTCGTTTTAAAACAAGATCACGTAGTGGAAACAGGGTTGATAAGTCTACTACACCTACTCCCAAAAGAATCACTCCTTCTCGTCCTACACAAAACAGGTCGCAATTTACTTTACGAAAAGACGATAAAAAGACAACGTTTAGACGACCTAGTTCACAATATTCATCTACCAGAAGAACTACCACGCCAGCATCGAGACCTAAACCACCACGGTTGCGGACCAGTCAAACCGAACCGACCACAACAAGAAAAAGAACAAGTGGAACTAAAAGGGGATCAACAACAACAAGAAACTCCGGTCGAGGATCCACAATCCGATCCAGATACTCTGGAGAGCAGTTCGATTCATATAATGGTCGAAATGATAACGGCACTATCACTGTGACGCATCAGGTGCCGACCGAAGTAACCATACCTGTTGTTAATGGAAAAGTGACAGAATATAGAAATATTATAACTGCTCAATTAAGCACGGAAATTGTACCACCCCATAAATATACTACTGCCTTAAATTCCCTTGGTAATAGGATAACTGTCTTATTGAGCGAAAATACAGGTATTAATGTCAACGGTGCGACAGCAATCACAAGATACATATTAAACGAGACTCCAACAAGTTCGATCACATTTACACCGACATTTATTCGAGGTTACAAAACCTCTTATTCACACATAATTCCTAGCACAGCGTATGGAGTTGAACAGGTGGTGAGTACCATACAACCGCAAATTCCCGCCCAAGCACCACTTGCTAACTTACTGCTTTCGCAACTTCTGCTTGGAAATGCGGGATTTCAGCCAAATCCCCTTTTGGGATTACAAAATTCAGCAGTCGCAGCGACTCCAACAACGGAGTATAAAACTAGAACAACTTCATACGTAACAACTGTTGTAAAGTCGACATCCACAGTATTACCCATTACGTTTAGAGGAAAAGAAATATTGACAACAATTGTAGATAGTTCCAGCGAAATAGTAACAGCCACTGAATTCTTAACGGACACCATCGTCAGTACCCCTACTATGCTCGCAGGGGCCAATCTGAACAGTCTTCTTTTACCGCTTCTCTTACAGCAACAACAGCAACTACAAACAGCACAACCATTTAACCCTCTAAATCAACAACCAGCGGGAATCTTTGGTCAAAACCAGCCCTCAGGTATATTCGGAATTCAACAGCCTGCTGGAGTGTTCGGATTAAGCTTTGATCAAAATTCACAACAACAAATTGCTTTTCAAGATTTAAAAGATAGCTTTGGTATAGCTACTAATGAATATGACAGCAATTCTAAACAACCTGAAGACTTCCAGAATCTGTCGGAAGAAGAAATAGCAACGTTAGAAAGTGAGCACACTCATGTACCGAGTAGAAAACCAACCAAGAAAAAAACAAGAAAGGACAAACAACAAGAAGCCCCTTCACCCGTCACTCCTTCAGAAACAAGTGTGGTTACATTGTATGTGTCAGGAAAAACTCCTGACGAATTCACAACAATTTTATCTACCGTGGTTGTTGGTGAAGAAAACAAAAACAAAAGTAAAAGAGAAGTAAGTTATATTGAAGTGAAGCCGTCTCATATCAGACATGACTTTCGAACGAACAACAACTTGGATTTTATACTAACTCCAGCTATGACCGAAGAAGTTACGGAAGAAATAGAATCTCTAGAAGGAACTGCCAGTTTGGAAAGTGTGGTCGGTGATGTGGAAAAATATATAACGACCCATACTCCTGATCTATTTGTAAGCAAACCAACAAAATTAAAAAAAGCTAGTTCATCAAAAAATCACAAATCACAAAAATCCTCCGGTAATTTTTTAGTACAATAGACCTTAGTGAGTCCGCCCCACTCACTTTAAAGGTCAAAAAATCACCATCCTGGGGCGACTTTATAATCACTACGGCAAAAAATCATGCCACTAAAACACATACAAGGAACAAAAGAGACGTAACCGATAACACTCATCAACCAAAGAGACGACGCCGAGTAATAAAAAAACTAATTAGAATTAATAATCGAACAATTAATGAAACAAGCAGGAAAGGAAGACATTATCAGTACAATACAAATGACTTTGGAGAGGTAATTGATGTACAAACAGTAAATAACGAAAACTATCCCAAAAGACGACGAGTCGTCGTTACAAAAAGGCGTAGACTCACAACTCCAAAGCCAATTAAAAGAATGCGAAAGGTATTAGTTGCCAAAAGGAAACTGTTGCCTACTAGCAGTACTAGCGACTTAAAAACAATTACAAAGTCAACTAATTATGAAATGAGCGAATATACTGATAAAACCAGTTCAGAATCTACCACTTTTCCAACTACCACTAACACAGACGATTATACCGAAGAAACCGAAACAGAAGTTGACCAAACGGAAGAAAGCCAAGAAAGTAGTGATGCGAAAGCAATAGATGGTGATAAGAAAGATGTTTTATACGAAGACGAAGAAGAAGAATATGTACAAGAAGAAGAAAATAACCAACATCAAATGTTATATGCTAACGGTGCAGATGAAGGCGAACAAAAAGAAAATAGAGAAAGTCATGACGTTGACAATCAAATGACTGAAGAACAACAAAATAATGACGATTTAGAAATTAATAAAAATAAAGATGATCCAACCGATGATGACGATGAATATAATAATAATGATAATATAAATGCCACTCACGCAGAAATAAACGAAAAAGAGGAAGAGAACGTTGATACAGAAGATGAAAATGAATACGACGATATACAAGATGTTGAAGACACTGAGAATGAAAATGAATTTAAAAACGAGGATAATATCAGTCAAACCGATGCAAGTGACGCTTCAAATAAAATTAACTCTTTAAGCAACGTCGACACGGAAGAAGACGAAGAAGTATCTACAAAACCACCGTTCACAGATGAAGCCGAAGAAGACGATGGAGAAAAAAGTCAGATCCTCAACACCCTTCCCGATTATGAACCCTTTTTCCCAGAATTATCTGAATCTCTTGACGCTTCCGTTCTTCTATTGAAAACCACCGTGATTCCTACGGTAGATTACGAAACGAAAACTGTCGTACAGAGCAGGTTGCGTACGTACACTTTTATTGTGACAAGAGTCAACGGTGACGAAAAAATAACAACATCAACGACCGAAGTAAAACCGCAAACCAAAACACTTACTGTGACCGAACCTCGAACCAGCTACACGACCCTTACCTTACTAGACTGGGAAGCGACAAACGTTTTACCTTACGTCCCGATAACTAAATCCGTGGACACTCCTACACCACCCAAAAATGCTGGAGGTGAGTTTTTTCTGCTATCTACTTGTAAAATAGATTGAAAAGAATGCTCTTATGTACAGATTGTTACTAGTGGAAATTTTTCCTATTGTTAGTATTTTGTTTTGGCAAGTTACCTCCATACGTGGTGTCTTTTGTTTGTATGCTGTACAGAAAAATATATGTAGAACTGTAACTAAATAATATACCTTTATATCTTACTATTCTAAAGAAAAACAACATCTACTAATTGTTGTACTGGTAGTGAATCTGTTTTAATTCTCTATTCTCGTGGTTGATCACTATTAAAAACAAAAGATAATCGTCAATTGTTTTATCAGAAAACAACCCTACGTTATTCGAAGAAGCTCGATACAATTTGGCAACCAGAGTTATGTCCAACGGGGTAGAAGTTATAGTGGCTGGAGATAAAACCACTTTACCAGGAGAACCAGATGTGAGAAGAATTCCGCCAAGTTCCATCTACAAACCTATAACGTTGAAACCAAGTACATTGACTAACCATATGTCTCTGTTAGTACCACAAGATGCCTCGCAGGTTAGTAACAATCCTAATGATAAATGCAATTGAATTTTCTACGGTTTTCTAATTCTATTCTGTACAGAAAATACTATTACCACAATTATATACAATTTAAACTATAATTTATAATTAATTGAATTATTATTTCGCTTATAGTACACAACTTTTTGTGCAGAGGCTTTACTTGAAATATTTTTTTGTAAAATGCCGTTGTATACACACCGATCACACTAAAGTTGTATCAACCTCTATTCGTAATTGGTTCATATTTTACTATTTTTAGTGGTTGTGTAGCACTATTAAAGTTATAGCAATCATACAGTTTTCATCTTATATTATAGTTACTGACGATGTTGTTACCGAGCCACCGTGAATTGATTCGCCAGAGTCTGTTAATTTAACTCGTATATTAGCACGGAACATGTGTTCCGTTTCAGAGCGACTACACAGGCAAAAAAATCATGAAAACAGCAAAATTGACGTGGCCACAGTAGAAATATATTTAAAATATTTTCGTCCATCTATCGCATGTCACATTACAGCCGGCCGCGGAGTAGGGGTAAAACTGAAAGGCGCTCGGCAAAGCAGCCAAGACCAATATGACGGCGCCCGTGGCTCGCATGAGCCAACCGTGTAGCATTTATATTCTCACTCATTCGTGCAAGTGCATGACAATTTCATTTACAGACTGTGAAACTCAAAGCGAAGATGAAATTATTGATATAATAACTGAAGTTCAAAATGATTCACTGATTTAAATAAATATAGTTCTCAGTTTTTAACATGCGTCTATCATCTGAATTATTGTATTTATTATGCATTCCGTACTCTCATACGCAGATTGGAATTAAAATTTATAGTTGGATATCTTGTCTACTATTGATTTTCCATTCTCTTCCAATCATTAAGATAAGATTAAGAACGCAATTTTAATTTTAATACCCTACATTAAATAATTTTCCAAAAATTTACAGTTACATGCCTACAAACTGAAAAGTTTCACTTGCATAGTGGTTTCATAAAACCACACATTGTTTTTTTATAATAGGTATTAGTTAGGATTTTGTTGTTCAATAAAAATTTCCGCAAACTACGATCCGACAACTTTTAGAAGTTATCTACTAATATCTTCTAATTTCTGGCATTTTACTGCGTTTACGATACCAATGCATAACAACAAATATATTTAAATGCATTATACAAAGGCCAGACCGCAACTGAAATGTAGGATTCGCCAAATTTTAGCTAAGGTTTAATTAATTAGCTCTGTACTCGGATTCNTTGTCTACTATTGATTTTCCATTCTCTTCCAATCATTAAGATAAGATTAAGAACGCAATTTTAATTTTAATACCCTACATTAAATAATTTTCCAAAAATTTACAGTTACATGCCTACAAACTGAAAAGTTTCACTTGCATAGTGGTTTCATAAAACCACACAATTTTTTTTTATTAAATACTCAATCTACATAGAAACTAAAAAAAATAGTATCACCTTCAAGCGTATTATCTATATTTACCATATCAATCGATGTATAAAGTATTTCCAGTACGCAACTTAAGAATGCGCCAATCGTCCTAAAAGCATTCGTCCTTAAAATAAGAACTGGATACCTACCTGGAATTATTATAACCTTGGTCAATATAACAAAAACATCTTTATATAAATCATTGTAAAACCAAAAATTTTGCAAACACCGTACAAGTATTAAATCAAAATCGTTAGTGTAGTTAACACCCAAATACGCATTAGATAGATAGATTCACTTCCTTTACAATTTCAGATTCAAAGCCTGTCAGCTTCACTTCAATCAAATCCATTCGTTACTAAAACTTGCCTCACAACGTTCACATATTTGACCACATACCTCCAAAACGGAAGTACTGCTGTCTCAAGTCACGAACATATCGTTTCAAATATAGCGACAGAAGAAAAGAATAGTGCCAAAATAACTCCCACCGCCAGCACGGGAGTTACGTTAACACAGGTAAACTAATCAAAAAGAAAATTATCTAAAACAGGTTTGTGTAACAACCGTGTTCCATTTTAGCATCCAAATCTGGCCGTTGGAATATTTCAAACTACGTACACATACTTAAACACGATTTTGGACGGTGAACAGCCATTGGTTGTCAGCTCCAAGCACGTAGTTAGTAATACAGTTACTGCCCCTGACGATTATTTGTCCTTGTTGCTGCCGTTAGAAAAAGCAACCCCCGTAAGAGAAACTAATACGTACTATAGTACACTTCCTTTACGAAAAACTGTAAAAGATGGTGCCGACACGAAAATTGTTAGTACCGAAGAAACCCTCACGCAGGTCATCATTACCCAGTCCATACCCCCAAGATCAACATCTGTAATGACATCTTATATAGCTCTTGACGTTGATGGTCGACCACCCAACCGTCATTCCGATTATACCACAACAGATGTCGTAAAGACATATTACGTCACATACACATATTATACCACAGCAACTGAAAACAATACACCTGTGGTGAAAACCAATGTTGCCATATCAAGCGATATCGTTACCGAAAAACTTTACATTAACCCACAAAAAACATCTACTACTAATGCGGTCAAATCTGGTCAAAGTACTGTTCGCCTATTAGACGGAGTGGATATTGTGGTTACTAAAACCTACGTCACAACGTACACATACTACACTACACTATTACAGAATGATAAAGCAAAATCCACTTCTACCATAATAAAGTCTCATACAAAGGAGTTGGAAAACGTAGTGACCGAAACGCTAAATGCCACCTTAATTCGACCGGAAAATTTAGCATATATCAATCAAGAAATACAAAAAGGTCAAGAAAGAGTTACCGACACAGCAACGCTTAATAATGGACAGAAAGTTGAAATAACGGCAATTAACAAGAACATTAAGCCAACAAGAGTATTACCTATAGAAAAAACTCAAATGCCTTCACCACTCCCTGAATCTATACCAACTCTTGAATCAACTTCTCCAAGTATTATTACTGGCTCAACTATAGTATTTTTCGATGAAGATAATGATCCATTTCAAGCAGTTTCAAAAAAAGCCACTCCAACCTTAAAAACAAAGGTTAAAGCGACAAAAACTGCTATTAGAAATGAACTTAATTCTCTTTTGAGTTCAGAAATTGTAAAAACTACAAAAATATCGACGGTGGTTAATAAACAAAGCACAAAAAAAACAAAACACGAAAAACGACCAGCCATAACAGCTACGAAAACCAAAGATCCTAATGAAAGCACTACTGGCTTAGAAAGCCTCCCACCTAAAAAGAAAACGGCAGGCAAGGTACCAAAACCAGTCAATAATATACCTGATTTACTAGGACTTGGAACTATTAATGTCGACACACTAAGTGCTCTAACACCTGTTATCAATGCAATGGCTGGATTGATTAAAACTAACATTAAAAAGAAAAACGACTCTACATCTTCTACTACAACAAATGGTCCTGCAGCTATTAATATTAAAGAGCGTCACAAAGAGCCTATCAAGGAAGTCTCTGAGGAATCTCAAAACAAGCCCATTTATATACCTCTGCAACCGACGGATGATGATACTCTAGAAATAGCTGAAAGTCAAAATATTGCCACATTTCATATTAAACAATGGGAAAAACTACCAGTGGAACCAATAAAGAACCAAAAAGAAAGTCCTCTTCTCAATGGTGGAATTCCTATTTCTCCAGGCGAAATAATTACCGCTAACTCTGATGTCATAGTTGGTAAACCCGGTAGAATCGGTCCTCGCGTTCCTTCTATTCCGTTGGAAAATCCCATCCGGGATGATGTTCCCATTGGAATGAGCCCTCCTCCACTTCCGCATAACGTATGGTCTAATCAAAATACACAACATCTTAAGGATCCATTATTGAGTGAATCTTTAAAGAATGAACGACCGTATTCTGGAAAAGAAACATACCATAGACCTCCTCCTCCTGTAACAATCCCCCTTCGGCCATCTGATATCTTGAGAGGCGAATATCAGAAACGGCCGCCCGTATCACAGCATAAAAACCTTCTCTACAATATCCCTCCGCCATATATTAACGAGTTACCTCCGCGATTAAGTCATGGTGAAATGTTAATGCCCCATCAGAACAACGGAACTAGTATCAATGTCCCCATACAGCCTTCTGCGTTGGACGAACTTATAGTATTGCCAGAAATTATAGAAAGATCAAGTGGTCAACCTCTCTTAGTAAATCTACAACCATCTCAGGTGGCTTACGTTAATATACCTCACAACAGATCAACAGCTTTAATTTATGGAGGATCTACAGAGCCACATATTAATGGGCAATATTTCGATGATCCATCACCGTACACTCAGCTCGACTTTGCTGCACCGTCTGAAAATTACGATATCAACAATCGCAACAGAGGAATTCTTAAGGTCGATTCAGCGCAAGATAACATCCAATCATCAAACCAGAAGAGGGTGGTTGGGGTAATTAAAGTTGGTAGCGATGTTATAAACGTGAATCCAACCTCGTCTATTTCAGTTGGATCTTCTAATCTAATACAGCCTAGCAAGCCACTAAACAACAAAGATATAAATATCAATTTGCCTCCTTTATCATTTGGATTGATTCATCAAGCTGGTGAGCTCAATGGACATGTTATTAATCATCAAGAATCGATGACGTTTAAACCCCCTCCAATGAATTTCAATATTGTACCTGCAAATGACTTTGCAATGAATGAAGTAACAATAAAACCGAAAAACAAAACTATTAGTAACAACGTTCCATTTAAACAAAATAATTACATACCAAATGTAGGAAACAAATACAATAATAATCAATTTGGACATCCAATCAGAGGAACGAACAATAGATATACACCGTTCAGGCCATATCGAAGACAACCTCCCAAATCTCGTATTCACACAAGGCCGCCATCTAATCCGTTAGAATACATGACCCCTCCGCCTCCAGTAAATCAATTTACAACTATGCAGCTTTCGAAAATTTCAAAGAAACCTGAGGTTTCTAATTCAATTCCTATTTCCCCTCATGTTCCTCAATTCAATCCTATAGACGAAGATGACAATTATGACGAACCAGTAGATTCATTTAATGAAGAAGGAGAATACGTACAAGAATCGAACAATAGGCCTCTTTACCCCGATGAAATACCTTCCGAGATTCTAAAATTAAATGGCACAAGACACAGACCCCCTGCTATTGTGCAATATCCTTCATTTCAAACACCCTACAAACCGTTAAAAGAAGAAAATAATAGAAACTCAAATAAAGCTACAAGCATTCCTTTTGTAAGACCAGAAAATCAATTAACTAATCAAATTATAAAACCCGAAGATTCATCAATATATCTTTCCAATCATGCTATAGATGACTCCCATAAATATCCTGCGTACCAACAAATGCCAGAACAATCTTCATTCCTCAGAAGAAATAATACGTATACTACTCTGTATCTTAACACAGAAGAAAGACTTCCTCAAACAACAGAAGCCACCTTCCAACATACCTCGTCAAAACTCCTTACCACAGAATCATCATCAGAACATACAAAAATAACAACTGAATCTTCTTACGGATTGAAACAGCCAGTTACCAAAAATTCTGCGGTTGAACGGAGTACTTCAAAGAGATTTGGGACAACGGAAAATAGACCAAAAATAACCTCAATGCCTGTTGACTTTCCACCCTTGCAAAAAGACGAAATCAATCGTAAGACTCATATAGATACGCAAACTGAGAAACCATTCAATTCAAACTATTTGAAAAATGAAGATAATACAACAAATAATTACAAAGAAATTTCCACACCTCAAAGCAACAGGGAAGAAGCTATTTCGTTATCTTCAAAATCACCACCAGTGAAAGATGCGATATTACATTCAATGGAAATAATGAAGCCTCCTCCTCCTTCCCCTTCTGTTCCGTCAACTTCCAATCTACCGTATCCTTCTATGGATATAAAACCTCCCAAAATACCTGATTACGGACAAAAACCGTATCCGTTTAATTTTATCATAAAATCAAGCAGTCCAAGGCCATTTTCACGTAATCCAACGGTTGGCGTCAAATACGCTGCAGATGAAATTTTAGGTATGAATCCTCCAGCAATAACCACATATAGGCCTAAACTTAATCTTAATCGGACGATTTCCACATACAAACCAATATATTCCTTACAACTTGATGCATCAGACGATGAGTTTAATCAATATTCCACAACAACACATCCGACACGCCGCCCTTATACTAGAAGACCGTATACTCGAAGAACCACAACTACCAAAGCAAATGAAAAATCAGATTTACAGAAAAGTACAGTTCTTCCTGCATCTGTTTACCCTGCAAACATCACTACCCAAACATCTTACAAAACCACAACAGAAGCAAATATTCGCACTGTTCGTCCTGTTTTCAAAAACAAAGCTTCAACTACAACAACTGAAAGAAGTACAGGATTTTCCAGTAGAACGACAAATTCTACCTCCACTCCAAAACTATACTCCACGACGTGGAAAACTACCTCCTCAACCACCTCGGAACCGAAAGTGGAACCAATTACGGAAAAGACGAATATAAGCCAGCCTGTAAATAATCAATTCAAAATTGTTAAGATTAACAACCACACATCGGTCACACCTCTCATTGAGTCAAGTAATGAAATATTACCTGTACACGAGCATACACACATTCACACTTTCACTACAACAACAATAAGAACAACTGTCATAAAGACGTTAAATGGACCAGCATCTACATCAACCGTTCTCGTAACAAGAACAGAAAAATTCACTGTGGTAGATACAGTAACGGAAATCCATACCTTAGTAAAACCAACCAGTATCTATGAAACCATTACGACCACTGTAAGCCCCACAACTACTTTACTCTATCCTCCTGGGGTGCCATACGGTAACCAACCATCTATTTCACCCACAACCGTAATGGATGTTACGAAACCAACGGCAGTCGTTAACGAACACGTGAATGATAATATGGAGGACTTCATCATTCGAGACAACGATGAAACACAAACCAGCAATGAAAATGATATCAACGTGGACAGTTCTTCCAATAACGATTCGATTTTCGTTGTTATGACTGATAAAAACCATGGCAGCGTTGTTAAACTAACAGATACGGAAACACAAAATAGAGACGAGGCTGTAGTAAGTAGCGATCCCAACCATATTCTTTTGGGTGGCGTTCTGATCGCACCTCCACCTAATATCGAGCAACGTGACACTACTACTACTCAAAGTCTTCAAGATAAATGTATACCAGACTGTCAAGCTTCAAAAAATGAACTTTGTCAGAGGGTAGAAGGAGTCATGAGATGCGTATGTAGACCAGGTTTTGCCAGGATGTTCCCTGACAGACCGTGTAAACGTGAGTAAAACTAATTATACCTAATATAATTTTAATAAATTTGTCCCTCTTTCAGCAACGTACACATATCGTTTGAGAATTGTCTTAGAAAGACATGGCAAACAACGTTTAGTATACCACGAAGTTCTTAATAATTCAAATTCGACAGAGTTCGTAAAGCTATCTGCCATCGCTCAAGATGGTTTAGACAGAATGGTCATGCAGTCAGACTTAAGGGACATATACCATGGCATACAAGTTGAAAATTATGAGCCCCTTGAAGAACACGATGGAATAGTTACTAATTTCTATTTACAGGTAGGTAATTTTAAAAATAGATTACAGTTAAATAAAAAGCACACCTTGCCATAGGTATGCATACGATTATCAATTAAATAAATCCATTTAACAGGAGCACTTCTTTTTCCTTTAGCTCTCTGAAAATACAAATGACGATCGTCTTAAAGATATTCTCAAAAAATACTTGAGAAACAACAACTATAGCATTGGGGGAATGGAACTTTATGCCGCTAGAGAAGGAGTTCAAAATTTGGACGCAAATGACTTTGATGAATGTTCCAATAAAGATTTTCACGATTGCTCAGAAAATGCGCATTGTTTCAATTTACCGGGCACTTATACTTGTAGTTGCAAGGAAGGGTTCGCCGATCTTTCCGAAAACACCCTTTATCCCGGTCGTATTTGTTCGGCCGAGCTTATAGGATGCGAGCGATGCAACTATCACGGAACGTGTTACTCCAGAGGAGATGACGAGACACTTTGCGAGTGTTTCCAATGGTACGCCGGTGAACATTGCCACATAAATTTGAAAGGTATTGTGAAAAATTTCTAAATTTGTTTTTAATGCTATTCAAAAAAAGGATAATGTCATCCACATATTCACTGATATTTATGGAAAGTAACAAAATAGCCCAAGAGCTTGGTACGAAATTCATCCGGAATGTGGACGAAAAACATGAAATACCTTGATTGGTTTACATTATGTCGGAAGAGTTTTAGACAAGAGAGGTGTGCTTTCGAAAGGGAAGGAATTCGGTCTTGAATTTGACCTTGATCTTTACCTTCGAGATTATTTGGAGGTTATTTTTTTTAATGAGAAATTATTTTTTATCATCAACAATGAAAAACGCGGAATTTAATAATCGGATATTTCGTTGAAGATGATTTGCTCTTTTTGCAATAATTTTTGTCTGCCACCCTTTTTGTTCCATCTCACGTGTTCAGGAATTCAATTAAGTATACTGAAGTCTACGTTTCTACAAATTTTAGAACACTAACTCGATAACGTAATTAAAAAATGTGACACTTCGCCCTCTATGTCTACCCTTGTTCCTGGAGTGCTGCCCGCTTGCTTACAAAAGCACCCTCCCCTGTAATCCGAAAATATTAATATAAAATTTGTCCATATTCCGGATGACATAGAAATCTTGTGGCTACCTCTCTTGCGAAAATGTGTACACATTAATAATTTCCGTAAGAATACCTATACGTCCGTTTATAATAATCATTTGCGGTAGCGGAGGCAAATTAAAAAAATAGAAGAATTGTATACATCTAGAAACAATTTATAAATAAACATACCACAATATGGGATGTCAAAGTCAAACACTTCTTCTTATGCTTTTTGAGGACCATCATACTTAAATGCCTTACTTCTTCGAAATCCAAATAATGTAACGCCTTGCACAATATTTGCAATAGAAGTGATTAGCTTCATTTTGCAGAAATTATCGATTATTATTAATGATGTTTCTTACACGCGAACATAGATGTGAAGCTTATTTGAAATCAAACTTAGAATCCTGAAAATCATACTCCAACCTGTTGATCTCTGACAATACCGTGTCTACAATGGATAAAATTGTCAATTTATCTATAGTTAAAATCTTTTCTTTATTTTTGATGGAGTTTCAGTCATCAAAAACCTTATTACCATTTTTATTTCAGTTCTCCTGATAGCTTTAATAACATTGGGAAGTTTGCTTTTCGTCTTACTCATAGTCTGTTTGGCGATGACATGTTCGAAAGGAAAACGACACCAAAATGCATCGTTTGCAACTGGAATGAGTTTTATGCCACAACGAGTTGCTATGCCCGACAACAGAAGAATAACATTAGAAAGGAGAGCCATGATACAAGACACAAGCTCAGAAAGCGGACAGTCGGACACCCTCCCATATGAGGCAAAGGTTAGAAGTACTTTTCATTTATTTACTTAACTTTTCATAAAATGTTGTAACCTTTAACTCTTGGTGAAACACACCGTTATCTAAAAATGTATTTTAATGAAACACACTTCAATAATTGCTGAAGTTGTTTATTTACGTAACTTTATAGGCCGTATTTCGCTTTAGGGGGGGGGGGGGCATCTTTAGGAGCAGTACACATCTATACATCGAAGACGCCATCAACATCATTAAAGACAGTACAACTGTAGGGATAGATGTGCAAGGGCAAAAGATTAGTATGCTTAGATTTGCAGATGATATAGCAGTATTAGCATCTAGCAAGGAGGACCTAGAGATAGCTTTTAATAAAATGGAAGCGGTACTGACAGATCAGTACTGTATGAAAATAAATAAAAGTAAAACTAAAATACTGATATGCAAGGGAAGAAAAAGTAGGGAAAGAGCGAATATAAAGATAGGAGACGAAAAATTAGAAGAAGTGGCCGATTTTAGATACCTAGGAAGTCAGATAAGTGAAGATGGAAGGAGTGTAGGGATATAAAGCAGAGGATAGCGCAGGGTCGTGTTGCCTTTAATAAAAAGAAGTCACTTCTATGCTCGCGAACGGTTAAATTAGAAATTCGAAAAAGGTTGTTAAAGGTGTATGTTTGGAGCACGGCGTTGTACGGGTGCGAAACATGGACAGTGGGAGCGGCGGAAAAGAAAAGGTTAGAAGCGTTCGAAATGTGGTGTTATAGGCGGATGATGAGGATATCGTGGGTAGAAAAGGTTAGAAATGAAGAGGTATTAGAAAGAATAGGAGAACAGAGGACTCTGTGGAAGTCAATAAAAAATAGGCGAGATAGGTTGGTAGGACACCTTCTTATGCATGAAGGTCTAGTCAGAGACATATTAGAGGCAGAAACAGGAGTTAGGAGGGGTAGAGGTAGACCTAGATTAGATTACTCTTCGCAAATAGTTAAGGATGTGGGTTGTTCTAGTTTTAGGGAAATGCGAAGTTTAGCTCAGGATAGGAAAGAGTGGAGGTACGTGTCCAACCAGTCTTAGGACTGATGACCTTATGATGATGATGATGATATATATACGCGTAAATGAATAATTTATAAAACTGTTTATGTCCTTTTAGAATTCAATTTTGAGATATTATTCATATTGTTTCTCATAGTTCTTCTCAAGAAGATTAGCTGTAAATGTAACAGCAAAATAGTTCTAAATGGCATCATTACCTACGAGGCTAGAAAATGTAATGTGCGATGACCGACTGCGCGTTAATTTTGGTAATCAGTTGTCAAATATAAAACATAAACTAAATCTCACTTACTTTACGGCAAGGCGGATGACCGAGTACTACTTCCATTAAGACTATACAGTTATTACTCATTTCTCTAGCTTTGTTGGTTCTTCTCGTTCAATCTAGCCTAACCTAACCTATGTTTGTAATCAATTTACTTATTACTCATTACTTCATTAATATATCAGTGTTAATCAAAGGTCAACCACTTATCCACACACTGTAAATACCCCCTGCAGTGGGATTTACTATAAAACACGATTTTAAGTCCCACAATGGTAAAATTGTGGTTGGTAAAGGCTTTCGCGGGCATTATGTGAACTGATGCTTTCCTGATTTGACTCTAAAGGATGTCGTCGGTTGGAGCTTCTTAACGCTTCGCTAGCACGAGTGGCGAGCTTCTTTAGAGGTCCTTCCATCTCCTATGCTGGACGTGTACTAGCGACTTCTTTTTTTTTCTTTGTTTATATTATTCTCGAGAAGAGGAAATCCTTCAAAAGACACCTCCTTAAGGAAGGTAGTGTCGGATTTTTACCGGCTGAAACCCCTCCTTGAGTGGAAAGATCAACCCGAAGGTTGTACATCTCCGGGAAGGAAATGGGAAGATTAGGAGTGGGAAAAAGACTGATTTAAGAAAAGGGTTGAGTGTGGGGAAGAAACGGGGTCCACCTCTAAAGTGATGGGTGGACACTCGCGCTAAAAAGCGAAGTAGCGACTTGTCCTGCGCAAGTTGTATTTGTACTTATGGGCAGAAGGCGAAGCTTGTTTCAATTCAATTAACCGGGGCATGCTCATTCCAAATCTAGTTCAGTCTGAGTATCTCCTCCTTGTTGTTGAAATTCTATAGATGTTTTTGGATCTCGATGGCCTCTCTAACCATCCTGCTCTGATAGCCGTTAACCGAAGCTAATAATTTGCAGTTTTCAAAAAGTATTTTGTAGTGGCCATTGCTCAGTACGTGTTCGGTCACAGCCGACCTTTTAGAGTGTTCTAGTCGGCAACTTACTTTGTTTTCCTTGATTCTCGTTCTCATCAATCTCTTAGTGGTTCCTATGTAGACCTTTCCGCAGGAACAGGGTATGCCGTAAACCCGAGGCTCCAAGAGAGTCCCTTTGATCAGATGGTCTGCTGAATCTTCTTCATAGGTTTGAAGATCTGTTTAAGTCCATTGATCTTTCGATCTCCCTCTTTTCGTAGCCATACGCCTCGGATGCAGTCTTTAAAAGTTAGAGTTCCACCTAAAGATTTTCCGGTTTGCAGATCTTTATAACTCGTTCAGTCAGGGTCGTAATGATGCCATACTTCTGAATTGGGTGGTGGTTAAATGAAACGTATAGATACCTGTCCGTGGAGTAGGTATACCTTGTGATGGAAAAATGAATAACTAATGAGTAAATAATAAGCACAATTATCAAAAGTTTTAAAACTGTTTCCACAGTACAATGAGTCATTTGCCTACTGTGAAAAAATGACAAACACAGTTTTTAAAAAAGGATAAACCGTATTGTTTTTTATACAGAAACCCAGAAAGTTGTCGAAAGGAGCTCTGAAGAAACCACCCCCACCGCCATCCGACCCGAATAACAGCGACAGTAATACCCTTCCTGTGCAGGATCAAAAAGACAGATCACTTACAGTTATGATTCCAAGAGCCAAGTATCATCCAGTACCGCCACATTCTCCAGTGGTTAATCCAGAATCATGCGATAACAGAAAGAATTCAATTGTTAGCAGCAACGAAGCAAAATTACTGAGTTACCTAGACGCGGGTCCCAGCCCAAACGCAAAGGTATCTACGTAACATTTTTTATTTCCTACTTCGTCCTGCCTAAACTATTTTAACTTTTAACAACTCTGACAAGAGTCACCATTAAGTACGTAAGAAGTAAAGCGTTCAAAAAGAATTTGTAGCTATGTACACTTAATAACTACTTATTTTAGTTGTTTAACTGTATATGTTTTTCAGGCGGAAGTTAAACGAAAATATAGCAATGCGCCAAATGAGACATACCTTCCTGAAGCAATCGTACCTAGAAAGCCATCGGCTGGTAAGATATAGATATATACACTATTAATAAATAATTAATCTTCGTTTTTATAATACATACATCATCAGAATTTAATTTACATTTTCAAGGAGAGATATAATGTACGAGATCTGTTCAAAATTTATTTATTTATTCATGAATATCTATTTTGTCCCCTTCAAAGTAATCCCCACCATATATTATACACTTGTGCCAAGGTTTTTTCAAATCCTGGAAGCACTTCAAAAAATCATTTTTTGTGATCTTGTTCAGTTCCTCCTTCCATGCCGTCTTATCTCCTCAATCGTAGAGTAACGTTGTCCTTTCATGGGCCTCTTCAATTTCGAAAACAAGAAAAAGCCATGTCTGTGGAATACGGTGGCTATTAGTGTGTTGTTTTTGGTCAAAAATTCGTGTACAAGCAACGATGTGTGCAAAAGTCAATTTTTGTTCTTCCACAAATCCGGATGTTTCTAGCGGATTGCTTCACACAAACTACGCATAATTTGCAGGTATACTTCATTTATTTTCTCTGAGGATGTGCCCCTTCCAATGTCTTGGATGCGCGCTGGCAAAATCGTAGGTCACATTGCTACAGAAAGTAAACGAAATATAATAATCCTTATTGACTCTTCTACCCATTTGGCAAGAACTCATGATGCACCTGCCCTAGCAATCGAAGAAAACTGTAAGCAAAACCTTCACATTCGCGCTTTTTTCGGTCTTGGCTCGATTGGTATAAACAATTTTGGTACGAATTTCGCTGCGACCCATCTCATGCCCAAATCATTTGTAAAAGTAGAACGGCAAAAGCCAATCGATATGTGTAGGTCTTCTACAACTACTCTAACAGTGATTCGACGATTGGCCAATACTATTTTCTTCACTTTATCAATGTTTTCGTCTGTTGTTGACGTGCTCGGACATCTTCTCGGTCCCCTGAGAACATTTTGTACCACCGATAAACGCTGCTTCGATCCAAGGTAGTTTCACCATATGCCACACTCACCAATCAGAATGTGTCCGCGCACATGATTTTATTTTTCACCCCTAATTACCGTGAGTGTTAATAAATCTTTAAAACGAACAGTAATTGTACCTATGAAAGATGATGGTTTGGCAGTGATTTTTGCAAAATGGAGTGCTTTCTCCATTTTGGCTTTGATTACTTATTAAAACAAACCTTTCAAATTTCACTCTCAACCTGAAATATTATAAATACCTACTTATTCAAAATAAAAAAATGATATTAAAATAATAAGAAAATAACTGATAATGTTATTGTTTAGTATAGTTATAATTTATTATAATTACGAAAGCAGATTTATCTTAAATATAATGTAACAAGTACCTTTTTCTGGTTAATAGTCGATATACAAAATATATTTATTTTAGTTGGAATTTCAAAAAGTAAACAAATTAATTTGCAGGTGCTTTAGTATCAGCTGGTTTTGAAGTGTCCGCTACAGTAAATATGAATACTGTGAATAATTTAGGCACTTTGGATACAACAGGTGGCACCGAGGCTGACCGTAGCGAAAACGCTACTTTAATTCAGAAAATTAGCGCTGATCTGATCTCTAGCAGTGGCACGAGATCTCAATTTAACACCCTAAGAAATGATTTCATGTAAATGATACATTTTGTTAGCAATAAAAATACACAGAATTTAACAAAAATTGTTTTAGTGATCCTGATAACGAAGATTCGCTTACGAACTGGTTGGAAATTACACCAAAAATTACAAAGTAAGTGTGTCGTTGAATATAAATTGTGCGTCATGATATGTACGGTTAATTTTTTTTTTTTAGAACCGTATCTGAAGCACGATCTTGTGATGAAACAACAATACAACCACCAACGAAGTCTTTGAGAAATGGTTATGATAACTGCAACGACGTAAGTATAAATATTATTGCAACAGAATAAAAATACACTGCGCTGTATTGAAGAAAGTTCTCAACAAAACGTTTAAGCCCTTGTCCAAAATCGAAACCACCAAACGCAGATCGCGATATCTATCAGCGCGCTTTAGCAAATCTCTATAAATTACAAACCAAATATATGTCTAGGATTGCTAGTGCCCGTAAGTGGGAGTGTCACGGAGTAAGTGAGACGCCAAACGACTACTTCTGTCTCTTTTTAGATTACTCGACCCGTTGTTCGCAATCGTCACGAGTCTGGTGGGGTAAATGATGCGCGCTTATAGGCATGTTCAATTGTCGAGCATGCGCGTAATACTTAAAGTAGTCACAAGAGAGACAGATGCATATATGTCTGCACCGTTGGGTCGTCATCTTTTTCTAGACCCCAACTAGCAATATAGGAGTATTACATATATGGGTTAAGCAAACCACCTAGCACGTCCACAAAATGCCTAATTAGTTATTTCAATTCATATTGCGGTACAACACCTCATTCCAAAACGATCTTAATAAACGTGATTAAAGGACAAAAAATTTGTAAGAAAACCACAAGTTGCAATCCAAAGCCGGTACTGACACTCGAGTCTGAAATATTCTTTTTTTTTTCCTTACACGAATCCATTCGCGGTTGAAAATCAGTTTACTGCATAACTTTTGCACTCGCTGCAAGTAATAAGCCTGCAGCAACTGTTCTTTTACAATTCGCTACTCTTTCGCATGAAAAAATAAGCCAACAGTGCTATTTCGTGTGTGCTACGTTTGAGGGGTTATCTTCTATAAAATCAAAAAATAAAAATATTTAAACGTCTGTAAAATTCGGTAGCTCCAGTAAATCTGGTTCTCGGTTTCCACCCTCTTCTCTTCCATCTCAAATAGCTCCTTGTAATGGTAAGTCTGTAACAATAAATCAGCCACTGAACACGAGAAAAAAGATTACGTCACAATAACACATTTGCCAATTTCTTTACGTGTTTATCAGAGCCGGACTGTCCCTTGCCTGTGCCTACTTTCAAATACGTTTTTCTCGAAAACGATGAACACTCGGACCTGCAAGCATTTACTTGATTTTCTTGTTCTGCGGTGCTCCACCACCTCACTCTAACATAGACAAACTTAAGACACATACGCAATTTTTCTCTTAGTACTAGAAGATTAACCTTAAAAAGCAGTTAATATTTTAAATTTTTTAAATTTTTAGGAAGCTGATACCATGGCAGAAAGGGATGTTGGTTCAACTTTCTTATTGCCTCATACGCACCTATATAAACCGGACAGGGTAAGACTAAAATAAAAACTCTTAACTATTACATAACCCCATTACATAAACATCACCAAATTATGTTAAATAATAAGTTATATAATGGTCTTTTGTGCTTTTAGGGTAGTGACATATCAGGATTCGACTCTCTCTAGTACATTTATGAAGACCCGTTAAATGTTAAATACAGCTACCACGTGCCGTAAAGTTTCATGTTGAGTGCCTGTGTTATATTATTGTTCAAAGGACTTATTTATTGTTATTGTATATGTGGTTAATTTTATTTTTATTAGAATTTTACGACAAACTCATAATTATGTAATAATGGCCATAACTAGCATTGTATATATTTTTTAAAAAACTTAAGTTAATAGTTATAATTAGTATTATATTGTATATAATACACGATTAACAACATAATTTATATAAAAATAAATCTGGTCTTTATACTTATATGTATCTGTCATTTTGAATTCTGCGGAAGGAGATAAAAGAAGAGCGCACTTATACTCCTCCTTGCCTTATAATTTTCACAATCAGAAAATTTTTATTTATGAAAACTTCTCTTGTTAGGGTCTCTTTATCCGTAGCTGTGCGAACGAGTCACCCACAAGGTTGACCTGATTTGAGGGAATTTCTACTTAAATTTTTAGCAAAAATGGATTAAAAAATTAAATCTGAAATAATTTTCGATGTTCACGAATATTCTCTGTTTATGTATACAAGTAAATTTCATCCGCCCTCACATCAATCAATCTCATGCCAGCCAACTACAGTAGCTTGCCAGGTGGGGATCATTTCAATTTATGCAAACGGTCTTTTCATATTTGGGTTTCCAGTGCTGGCAGTCTTTTGAATTCTGATTTATCCAATTGCACACGTATCAGATATATTGGTTTCGTCTTACAAAACGTCTGAACGTACCTGATGCGTTAACACCTCTGATATTGGATTGATCATCGGTTATTCCTATATTTCTCTACACTTATTAAGTAATTGATGCTTCTATGCCCTTCGGAGCGATCAGTAAAATGAGTGGGATTTCCTTTCTGCGGATCTTTGTTCTGTAAAAATCACGTTTTTGAGTCCTTTCTTTTCTACATCTGCATTTACGTCGTTATTGGTGACTGTTGAGATGTCTTGAAGGGCAAATTTTGGCTTGTAATATTGCTGAAGGTATAGCATATCGCTTCATCATTTAACAGTTTGATCATTTGTGTTAGCTTTCTTGGGTAAGCGTTTTGTGTTATCATATTTCAATTTACAGTTTCACTCTACAGTTGTTTCGCCTTTAACAAAAGTACTATCGGTAGTCAGCAATTCTATTTGTGAAAATGTTCGCCGATCTCGTCGACATCCATTGTTGCCCAGCTGAGTGTTATGAGAAGAAGTTAGAGGATTTAAGTCAATCTAAATAGATAGACAACTTTCTGTATCAAAATCCACTGTATTTTTTTATAAAGGTTCATTATAATTTTTTTCGTTCAATTTTACTCCTTCCACTCCTACCCTGGTATAATGACTATCGGTTACTTGTCAGCCATATTTGTAAGCTGTTATTGTCAGCCAACTTTATGGGCTCCTCCCCCTGATCCAAGTCGCATATTTATATCAAGCAACAACTACTGCACCGCACCGAGCGGCATGGCCTAGAGGTTTAGACCATTGCTTAGCATTCGCCGGTTCGATTCCGGGTCCGTCTGCCTTGGTCCAAGTTTTTCTGTCGTTTCCTTGGATCACTTAGGCAAATGCTGAGGCAGTAATATTGCACAGATAATCTTTCATTCTCTTCATTTCGTCCGTCTCATCTTTCTCACCCGATCCACCACCCACCCATTCCCACGATTCTTGAAAGCAGGCTGAAGAGGGCCTTCCGGAGGGACTGCCCGTCCACCAGCATTACTGGCTGGTGGGAATGAAACACCCAAGTTTTTTTTTTTACTGCACCGCAAATACTTCGCTCTTTAGCGCAAATGTCCACCATCAAATCAGAGCTGGGCCACTTATTTTCAACGTTTTCTCCCACAAATACTCCCGCCTCCTCCCCACACTTAACCCTTTTCCCAACTCAATCCCCTTCCCACTCCCAACCTTTCCATTTCCTTCCCGGGCATGTATAACCTTCGGGTTGATCTCCCCACTCGAGGAGGGGTTTTACTCAGTAAAAATTCGACACTACTTCCCCTGTGGAACTGTCTTTCCTTTCCTCTACTCGAGAATAATCTAAACACAAAAAAAATTGCACGGCAAGAGAAGCCGACTCGCTGTGTATATGGAGGGTTTCAGATTGCAAGCTCTGCATTAATAAACGCTATGAGGGGACTCCGGACACTGAAAATGGTTCAATGTATTGTAAACATTATTACAAAAAGGGCTAAATGAAAATTGCATGAGATAGTCAGGTGGCAAACATAAGAGTTGCAAGAAACCTTTTATTTTGGGTTGTCCGACAAATATCCCCTTCCACCCCCTCCCCCAAAAACATGTCAGACAAGATTACCAGGCAAGCAATGTATTGGGAGATTTCCACTGAGAAAAAATGCTGACTAAAGTAGACATTTGTGTAGGTACGGGTGCTTTCCAGTTGAGCGGGTTAGGAGCAAAATGACACAAATCGATCCGCTCAAGAGCGAAGTAGTTTTATGTCGTGTTTGTGCATTGACTTATGGTTAACAAATTGAAACGGATTTTATTCATTATACACTACTAATCTTCTTGGTATAAAGTAATAAGGAAGTTAGCCAAGTATTGCTAGAAAAGTTTTGGATGTCTCGACAATATTAATAAACACGAATACTTTCTTGGAAAAGATGTTTTTGTTAAAAGTAAGAACATTCTATTTTATGACAAAAATGAATAACACCATTTTATAAAAAATAAATGAATCCATAAATAACGTATAAAAAATATCAAACAACAATGTTAAATATCCTGTCCTCTAATTGTTTTAAATTTCAATTTCGCGTCGTCGTTATAGTATCTATGGGTTTTGCTCTATAGTCACAAATTTCTATAGTTGAACATTATTTTATCTACCGAAAAATGTGTGACCAAGGGATGACCGCTGTTTTTTACACATTGGTTATTTAAAATTTACTTTTGGTTTAAACACTTTTCTCAACACTATTTACATTCAAGGGATATACGACACGCAAAGCGATGAACATGGATGACTAAACAGAATACAAACTTAATGGGCGACTATGCTGAACAATCACAACTACCTTCTGCGACGATTACACGACAACTGCTCAAACTGCCCATAGATAAGACACCTGTCATATGCTATGAGATACATTATGGGCTTGTCAGGTCCGAAAAGTTAACTCCCCAAGATTTTTTTTTTTAATTTTTCTTATTTTAAGTTACTTTTCCTACAAGGAGGGGGGCTAAGTTGACCGTGAAAATTTGCCTAGGTTTTCATTAATAAACGAAAGACGATCAAACATTTATTTCTGACGAACAAACAATTGTCACTTAAAGACTTAAATAATATATTAAAAATTAAAAAAAAAAACTAACTTTTCGAAACTGCTTGTGGCGTATGACTACTATTGATATTACAAAATACAGGTTGAGAATATTTCTATGGTTCTATAGATACTTTTTCTAATAATTTTAAGGTGATCTCTGAAAGTGTAAGAGTCAGAATAGACGACGACATCTCGAATTAGTGGGGGTAGTCGAACCGGACAATCACGACTTACACCGAAAGCATACACTCGTAAGAAGTGGAACATCATCAATACCTATTAGAATAGCTAATTTGAAAGACATTGAGCAAAAGATCTGCAAGGTACATAGTTGGGAATATTTGAACCAGTAGCTGAAATACACCATCGTGACTGGGAAGAAAAACTTGAGATAAAATCGACTTCGCTTCCTGCAACTTTAACAGAACTGGTGAAACGGTCAAACAATTACAAAAACTTGTTGGCCGTTTTCAATACGTCTGATGAAGACTTTGGCAGGACCAACTTAACATACCACCGCATAAACACTGGAACAACAAATCCCATCAAACAACCATCTAGAAGAGTTTCTTGGGTGAAGCATGAGGAAATCAATAATCTCATAAAAGAAATGCATATACAAGGGGTGATAGAACCATCTCGAAGTATCTTGGAATTCCCCTACAGTTCTGGTACTCAAGAAAGATGGTTCCACGAGATTTTGTTGGGACTACAGGAAGCTGAATGTTGTAACGCTGAAGGACAGCCACCTATTACCTCGAATCGATAGCATACTATATGTATAGTCTAGCTGGAGCTAAATGGTTCTTTACTCTCGATTTAAAGAGTGAATACCTACCATGGTACAATTACAACTACAAATGGACGCCTTTTAGATTGTGTATGTACCGACTATATTCGAAAGACTCATGGACATTGCAAACAACTGAAAAATCTGTTTGGTTTACTCAGACTACATCATCATACTAGGAAGAATCTTCGACGACCATCTCTGAAACGTAATTGAAATCTTCAAGAAATTGTTAGCTGCAAAATTGACTTTAAGTCCCAAGAAATGTATCGTATTTAGAAGAGAAGTGAAATACCTAGGTTACGTCATAACACCAGAAGGAATTATGATCGACTCTGATAAAACGGATATCGTAGGAAGTTGGTCTATACCAAACAATCGTAACGAACTTAGAAATTTTCTAAGACTTAGTTTCTACTACCGAAGAAGACCACTAAAAAGACTTACCGTAGATGGAGTTTCATTCCAATGGACACCAGAATACCAAAAAACATATTTTAATATCTGAATATTACACTTTCTCGAGACTCGCTCTTAACATATCTACACTTCAGCGAACCCTTCATCGTTGATGCTGACGCTATTAATGTAGGACATGATGTTGTGTTATCCTAAGTACAAAGCGAAAAAGAAAAAGTCATCGGGTACTTCAGTAAAACAGTCTCGAAACAAGAACGAAATTACTTTGTCACCCGTTAAGAGCTACTAGTAGTGATTAAAACCCTGGAACATTTCCATAAGTTTCCCTTAAGAATGAGTCACGCCCTGCTGAAGTGGCTGTTGCAATTCAAGAACACGGAAGGGCAAATTGCACGATGGTTATAACGATTTCAGGAATACGAGTTCGACATTGAGCATCGTTCAGGAAATCAAGACGACAACGCAGGTGCATTATCCCGGAGTTTTTACGTGAAAGTCTGCAAACATTGTTTATCTGCGGAGAAGAAGGAAGAACTGGCATCGATCTGTTGTAATTTAACCGCCGTCCGCAGACTAATAGAATGGTTGAACGATTTAACGCCACTCTGGAGACCAACCTAAGAAGCGTCGTCAACAATCACCAAACTGACTGGGACCAACACATACCATTATTTCTCTTAGTTTAAAGATCTGCCATCCATGAAATCCAAAAAGCTTGAGAAGGTCCATACACCGTTACTCGACGCATCAACGATGTTGTTTATCGAATTCAAAAGATATATACCTCGTGCAAAAATGAAGATCGTCCATCTTGACCGGCCTGTACCCTACGAAACGATCAGTACTAAGAGGGGTGCAGTATCACATATATGTAGGCAACCCAACATACATAGTAACAGAGAAGACTCGATTTTCTATACATCATATTCTTGATCATACTAGAACATGGTCATCCCCTACAAATAGTTGCGGCGAGGGCGGATGAATTAGTCAGTACAAGATCTAATTACGACGCGAAACAAAGCGAAGAATAAAGAAGGGACAAAGTGTACGGTATAGTACTGAAATTGTGGTGAATTAATAATAGTAGTATTGGTTCCAAAGGGCAAATTGTTAAATAAATTTAGGAATAATGAGGAAGATGTTTAAATACGTGACAATATTTTGTAAATTACGTTACAACAAATGAATATAGTTTTTTTTTTTTAATGTAATTAGTAACCAAAAATTGCCAAAGGCTATGTTAAAATAGTTAAATAATTACAGCAAAACATACATAGGATAACTTACAGAAAAAAAATCACTAATGGGGTCTTTGGCACCACCTAATGAATATAATTGAAACTATCGTGTTCAAACGAGCGATATAGCTTTGTTACTTTGTGCACCTTTTTCGTGTTTTCATTACTAGAAAGCTCCCTTTTACTCCACGCCTATGTTTAGATACCATAGATACACATAGGCCATAGATACACATGACCAGAGAAGACATGACCCATCAATCTATGGACCCATCAATGAAAATGAATGAAAATATAAACACATGAATATGTTACCTGTTGCTTGACAACTGTTGCTCATTTTAAGTAATTTGTAATTCTGAAGTTGCAGTTTTAAAAAACATTTTTATAAAATTTTTAGAAAGTAATTTTAACATTGATAATGTAAATGTTTCTATACATTTTGTGCCAAATTTGTTACTAATTTCAAAGCAGCGCCTAAGAAGAAATTTTGGAATTTATAATAAGAAATAGTGATATAATATTTATCACACTTTAATCGTTTATTGTAATGGATAAACTACGAAGAGCATTAAGTGGAAATGAGACCCCAGACGAAGAAAGTGGCATCATGTCACAAGTAATATGATCTACTCTCTTATGTTAATATCCATGTGTTATATTGTTTTTATTTTGTAGTTTAATGATGCCACAACCTTAAGCTGGTCAACAAGAATTAAAGGTTTCTGCATCTTATTTATAGTTGGAATTTTACTGTCCTTCCTTGGTTCATTTGCATTATTTTTTAAAAAAGGCCTCACAGTATTTGCTGTATTTTACACTATTGGAAATATTACTTCACTTGCAAGTACTTGCTTTCTTATGGGTCCTGTTAATCAGATTAAGAAAATGTTTGCTCCTACACGAGCAATTGCTACTGCAATAGTTTTAGTAACTTTTGCACTTACATTATATGCTGCTATTGAGGTAAATAAAATAAGTTATTTAATTGAATAAGTAATGCTATTAATTAAACATATATTTTTAGTTACAAAAACCTGTATTAGCCCTGCTGTTTATTGTTATACAGTCTTTAGCAATGACTTGGTATTCCTTATCTTATATTCCATATGCAAGAGATGCAGTTAAGAAAACAGTTACTACTTGTATCGGAGATTAAATAAGTATTTCATTTATACTCAACATATAAACTGTAAGTGTGATTACCAATAAGGCTGGAAATGTCAATAATATACCTAATATCTATATTTTTAAAGTAAAATAATATTGTCATGTGTTATTATTTAATTAAAACTGTTTATGGCTACTAACTCAAAATCATTTCTGTACTAAAAACTACGATAATTTCTCTAGTCACATTTACAGGTATATCCGCTCATGCGGCTTTCATTATTACTGACTAATTAAATCTGACTTCTGTTAATAAAAAGTTCCCCATGTGGACTAGATTGCATTTAAAATGTTCAATTAGTTTCATCTAAATCGAAGAATTTCGGTCAAATAATAACATACACATATACTTTAATATTTTATCTAATAAATCAACAATAATTACATTTTCCACATAAATTGCAATTCCAGCATAAGACTTTTCAGTATAAAGTCTATTCAGTAGGAAATATAATTTTCTTATAAATTAATGTCTTGTAAACCTTTCAAACTATCATAGCATAGGTTTTTAGAAAAATCATATGAACCAAAAAATATATATCCTCCTAAAAATATCCATAATGTTCTAGGCACGACACCAGCAAATAACCTGTAATTTAACGTTATTAGATAGTTACCACTGACGGCCTATAAGCAAAATGATGTGTATTCAAAAATTAATTTTGGTGCCCCCTTACAATGAAATATTTAAATGGCTATGTTGCATTCAAAATTACGTAAAAATTTAAATTTTTACCATATTTTTTCTTATTTCGGTGTCCCTCCCAAAATCGCATGTTTGCGATCACACACGCCTTAGGCCGGTCATGATATGATAGTTATTCTCATTTTGAAAAAAGGTAAATATCTTACCCTCTTATTCCTTTTTCTTTATACACCTTAAGCATCATATGTCTCACTTTTATTTCTTCTGTTATTGCTGTACGCCTATCTGCCAGCATTATCCTAGTCTTTACAACATCCAGAGGAGTAGTAACAGCCGCTGCGAATCCACCTTTAAGTAAAATTGTATAGTAGAAACCTTATGAACTATAATTACACGCATTTAAGGTAACTAACTTGAAAATAAGATTTTTAATATGTTCGTGTGCAATACCGTGAAAATAAATAACAGTTACTACTTATTATTTTGATAATAAAAATAATACTATTTTTATCTGAAATAAATACATATTTTGTTTTGTATTTTATTAAAAAAATTTTAGCTTTAGCTAAAAAGTTGTTATCTCGTCGATTAGTTCTTAATACTAAAATATAGAAAAATTAGTAATTTTAAATCGCTAATATCACCCACATTGAAAAAATGTGATTAAAAGATTAAAGCGCAAGTATAAAATTATTCGAAATTGAGTAAAAACTACTTATTTACCTGCTAAAGCCCCGCAAACGCCGACTTCCCACGATTCCAATTCAATGTTATTTTTAAATTTAAGCCTATAGGTTTTTTTCAGGTGTTCCAAAATAGGAAATTGAATAAGCGAAAAGGGAATTTCTCGAACTATAGTCGATCCAAAACCCCTATACAGTCCCTAAAATTATTATATTCAATAGAAAATAAATTTAAAATACATTTTTTATTCGTAACCTTGCGCAAGCCCTCAGTTTTATAAGCGTTGAGGAAAATTTTTATTGAGGAAGTGTTAGTACCTATGCTAGTTTGTCTCCTTTGTTTAACTATTTCTACAGGAACTCTTACAAGGCACGCAACCTATTGAGAAAGATAAAAATGTAATTCCTAAAATAATTAAGGGTTTAAAAGTTTACAATTTCAGATATTGCAGCTCCCGTCATATGAATGAGCGGATGATAATGACTCGGTAACAATGGGGTAGTAAAAGCTTTAAAGCTTTCGTAAGTCACAAAAAAGAAAGCAGCTACAAGATACAATTTAAATAACTACAAATAAAAAGCTAGTTTATTCGTTTGTTATTTGTGTATACCTTGTGGTGCGCTTCCTATAGCTTGTGGTCCTATCCCTTTATAAACTCCGTGTAACCCACCAGCTTTTTTAAATCCCTGTTCGGCTTGTAAACGAGTTTTTAACGTATCTAAAGGAAATAAAACCATATCTACAAAGAAACCTGCTACACCTCCACCCTACAACAGAATCGAATTTTGCATTATTTCGTTCAAATCCACTTTAATTTTTTTTGCGATTGTAAAATGGGTTGCCTATATTATACAAATCAAACTTTTTGAACTTACTAGGAGAGACGACAAATATAGATTACTGTCAGCCATTGCACTTTTTGCTTCTTACCACTTATCAGAAAAATACAAGTATTTGTATTTAATCGTCATATTAAATAGATTTGATTATAAAATCGAACAATACAGAAATAAGTCATTATTTCGTTTGAGCAACTTTTGCCACGTATATATATCTTCTATGGTCAAACAATAGTAAATTCAAATTTGCAGCTGTATAGTAGATTTTTTTGATATATAATTTTGTTGAAAAAGTAACGCTTTGATTAAAAGTAATAATGTCACATTTTAGATTAAACTTAAATAGAAAAACATACTCTAACGGCGAATTTTTGCCGTTATTTTGTTGTGAAATCAGTGTTATCGTTACGTAACCTAACAGTTCAAAGCTTTAACCTCAAAGTTCTGACGTTATTTTGTTTACTAGTTTATTTGCATAACTATGATTATACCCTAATTCCCTAGTGCATCATTATGGGGCGCAATATTTTAAAAAGTAGTATCGAGAATGCTTCGTTTAGCATTATTTTTCAAGTAGGTACAGATACTTGCATAATGCTTCTAGCATTTAGTGATTTCACGCTTTTTTACTTACAGAAGTAAATTCAAAAATGTTAATTCAAAAAAATGTTTTTTCAGATTTTGTTCAGGATTATTACATTCGTTTTAAACGCATTTATTATTAGACATGTAGGGCAAACTGTATTAGGTATAATGAACGTGCGATTGCTATTATTGGAAAGTACAATATTGTTTCTTTCAAAGGAGCCTAATATTAAAGCATGTTTAACTGACACAAAATCACATAATTGGGCTCAAGTTATTAACCAAATTTGGTTAACGTAAGTATTTTAGTAATACACACTTTAATATAAGAATTAAACATTTGTTCAAATTGCAGGGTACCTTTTACAGCAGTTGTTGCTTTATTTTTTGTATACATTTGGACGAATATACTTAGTAGTACAGACAGTATCTACCAAACCCAGTATTATTTGGGTTGTTATGCGATAGCAATTTCTTGTGTTATTGATCAAATTTCCCAGTCTCTAGTTATAGTGGCACAAAGTTATTGCTTTGTACGATTAAAGGTAAACTAATTTTACTTTAGAAAACACTTTATTTATGAGTATAAGTAATATATCATTAAATTTGAAAAATAAACAGTATGTCTCCTTGACATTAACATTTTCTTTTATTGCTCTTATTGGACTTTATACCTGAACCACAATAATTAAAATAAAAAACAGTTTCCTTGTAACATATAGATGATGTTATGTAGAAAGTATTCAAAACATGTGTCCATAAATAAAAGCAATGTTTCAGAGATAAGAAATAAATAAAGTTTAATGTTTTAATGAGAATTTATTAAAATTCTACATATGTTTTAGTTAAGCCTTTTTCAGGAGTAAAAATTAACAAACTATTCTTGTTGAAACATTAAAATGCTAGTTATCAAACTCTTTCTTGTCAAGGAAGAATTGCTGTACTTACTTTACATTATTTTATTAGAAAATTAAGAATATTACGTTTTCATAAATATTTGCAAACGTCAGGATTCAGTAACAAATACTACGTTAATTTGTAGGTAGTCATAGACACTGTTTACATCATAATTCGTACAGTGATTTTTGTGGTGTTGGTTTTAAGGTATCCAAATTCTCCGTTGAATGCATTTTCACTTGCTCAACTTTTCTCTTCATTGGCATTCACTCTACTTTATTATGGCTTTTTTTATTGGTATATCAAAAAACTTAATGTTTATAAAAAAGAAAATGGTAAAAAGGAAGTAACAAGTGATGATGAAGAAGAAGATATTAAGGAAAAGGATAATTGTTTGATCAGCAATTGTAATAATGAGAATAAAGGAAATCCAGAAAATAATAAGCTTGAAGCTAAAACTTTTTTGGATGGCAAATCTTTAATTGAAGAAGAAAATCTTATAGATTCCCGTATAAAGAAAGATTTACCTAAAAGTGCTTTGTTTAATGACATGCACGATTTTCCTTTTACTTCTATTTTGGACTTTTTTCCTGGTTTTATGGAAAATTGGGTAAATATTGTTTAAATTGTTTAAAACATTCTTGTAAAGTTAATAACATTTAGGAAAAACCACTAAACCCAAGTTTGTGTATATTGGCAGTTAGTTTTTTTAAACAGTGTATTGTCAAACAAATCTTAACAGAAGGCGAAAGATATGTAATGACCATTTCTCCTGTTTTAACTTTTAGTCAACAGTCAATGTATGACATTGTTAACAATTTAGGAAGTTTGGCTGCAAGGTAAAATACAGTTAAAATTGTCGATACGTGACTTGCAGTACCTTGTGTTTTAGGTTTCTTTTCCGTCCAATAGAAGAAAGTGCTTATTTCTATTTTACTCAAATGGTAAAACGAGATGTAGCTATTTCTGAACAGCAGAAGGTAATAATAGATTAATATAATAATATATTATGAAAGTGAGGAAGAAGTAGATGTATTAATTAATCATAATATTGATCCGTTAAACGCATTATTTTCTTTTTACTTCATTTTATTATCACATTACCAAAATTGTTTCGTACCGTTTCACAATGTATTAGTTATACCGACATTTTTTGCGAATTTCTTAGAATCTTCAGTAAAGTTCAGACTGTAATGAAATATCAATTTTTGCGATTTTCTTATAAAGAGCTACTTTCACGTACATATTAATTGTACAAAAGTTGCTTATATATATATACAGTTGGCAATCACCAGTGACGATCTTTGCTCCTATCTAAAGTTAATACGATCGGGGAAGTATGTTGAGGATTTACAGTAATGATATCACAGAAATTGCAAAACTATTCATTTCTATTACATGATTAACAATTTTCTAGTTTGTTTTTTTATGTACATCAAGAACTTGTCATATTTAAACTGTATTAGCCAATATTCGTAAATTTAAGCTTTCGAACCATTTCAGGATGTTGCCCACTTTAAATTAATACAATGCTCATGTATACTTTTTGCTAGATATTTAAAGTAGAGACATGAATATAAATTCATAATATTTTACCTTAAATAATTCATTCCCATTAAAGAATGCATAAATAAATTACATTTTATTTCATTTCAGAAAAATATAAACGAAGCAACTACAGTATTAAATCAGTTATGCAAAGTAGTAATCAGTATAGGACTAATTGTTATTGCATTTGGGCAGTCGTACAGCTACACTTTACTGCATTTGTATGGCGGAAAAGCATTAACAGATAACGCATTACCTACTACTTTACTTCGTTTTCATTGTGTTTCGGTATTACTGCTTGCTGTTAATGGAGTTACAGAATGTTACGTCTTTGCAACAATGAATAATCAGCAGATCGACAGGTTTCATTTTCTTACTGTATTAATTTTGTATAAATTCAAAATATTTTATTTTTCAGGTATAATTATAAAATGGTTGTGTTTTCAGTGATATTTTTAATTATATCCTACCTTTTTACCCTTATATTTGGCCCAGTTGGATTTATTTTGGCAAACTGTATTAATATGGCAGCAAGAATAGGTCACAGGTATGTAATCAATGTAAATCATTGTTTTCAAAATACACTTAGATACCTCATTGCCTCATTACCTGCACGGTAGCCATGGCAGAATCCAGGACTCCAGTACAGCATAGCTATGGATTGTTATATCTAAAAATTATAGTTACTTTTTCTCAATCATCCTATAATCAAATACTTAGTTGATTTAATTTTACTTTGATAAACAAACAATAACATAAACTTCAGTTCTTAACGACCTTATATTCTAGAAAGATAAAAGACAAAAAACCAACTCATCGGGACTAAAAAAACGTAATGATGCTTCTGAATAGGGTCCATACCTTTATTGTATAATACAATTTGAATATTAATATAGTAAAATATTAATGAAAAGTGATGTTATGTGAACCTCATAAATTTTTGAATCTCAGCAAATGCAATTTATAACTAAAAGACCTCATACAGGGATTGTAAAACCCCTTATAAAAAACACATGTAACTGTTCGCCTTCAGCGGCCAATTTTCTCAAAAATCATCCAATATAGAAACCAAAAATTTGACATAGTAGTACATATTATTAAGTCACATAGTCACGAATTAACACGTTGAAACGCTTATGAATAGAAAGGCAAAAAGTCCTTAAAACAAGTTCATTTTTAATTTTAAATAGAAAAGGTTAGTAGAAGTATTAGAAAAAATTGAAGAACAGAGGACTCTATGGAATTCAATAAAAAATAGATGAGATATTGGTAAGAATACTTCTCAGGCATGGTCTAGTCAGTGACATATTAGAGTCAGAAAAATGAGTTAAGAGGAGTAGAGCTAGACCTAGATTAGATTACTGTTCGCAAAAAGTTAAGGATGTGGGATGTTCTAGTTTTAGGGAAATGCGAAGTTTAACTCAGGATATGAAGCTGGAGCTGCGTGTTCAACCAGTCGTAGGACTGGCGACCTTATGATGATGATTTATAGAGTATGCGAAAATAGAGCATTCCTTTCCCGTTATTTCGGAAACTACTAGACCTCAACTTTTAAGAAGATCAAGAAATGTGACGCTGTACTTAAAATTCACAGAAAAATTATAACTAAATTCCTGTGCTGTCGATTTCTAGAAATTAATTACTATATATTTGCGGTAGACTGCAACATGAAATATTATATTGTAATATTTGATAAAGTATGGAACCCTCGACGTTCGGGTCAAACCAGCACTTTTACTGATTGTTTTTGACTATTTTTTTTCTTTTTAGCATATATTTTATACATCAGAAATATAAAGATTCAGAATACAGGCCACTCATTGGATTAATTCCAGATTTATATTTTGTGATCTCTTTAATTTTAGTAGGAATACTGACAAAAGCATCAGAGGTTTGTTGATATACGGAAAAGAGGTACATTATTCACGCAACTTTAATATTTTTTTTTCAGCTTTATTTATTACAAAAATCCATTCTGTTGCATATTACTATTGGTGGAATTTGTTTTATCTTCGTGGCATTTGTATGGGCATATGAAAATAAAGATTTAGTTTCAATTGGAATGAACAAACTTGTTAGAAAAAAGCATAATAAAGTAGAATAAACAATTAGAACCGTAAGTTTGTATACCAAAGAAATTGTACATAAAATATATTTACTGTAAATAAGTATTACATACATATATTAAATTTGATAAAGTACACTAATTGGTTCATTTCCCTCAAGTTTAAGTGATTCTCACGGTAAAGATAATTAGTAACTGAATATTAAATTATTAAGAGAAATACCACACCCATGTACATATATTAGGGTGGTTCTTAACAGGGGTGTTTTCGAATTTTTATGCTCCCAGGGACTCAAACACTCCAAATGGTTTAAAAAAAGTCCCTGAAAATTTGAGCTTTTTAATATTAATTCATAAGATAGTCTGTTTTCCCACCAAGATTCCTTATGAAAATAACGTGAAAATTTCTTTTGTTTTTGAGGTCAAACATTAATTCATTTTAAATTATTAACCTTAAATAATTCATTCNTATTAACTACATTTACAAATTTGTATAATGAAATATGTCGTATATTTCTTGTACTAGGCTGTATTATTCAAGATCAATTCATTATGACTATGATTTTTTGGTAAAGTGACTATACTCTGAATATATTCTTCGGTCAAAAAATATTTTCATTTTCTACTCTTAAACTTTAAGAAACTTCAACTTTTTTTAACGAAGAAGAATATGCATTGGTCACATTACTAAAAATTTACATACATTGATCTTCAATTTTAAAATAAAAGAGCAGTGTTACTTTTTAAGAAATAAACTTACGTTTAATTTTACAAATACATTACATAAAAACAAATAAATCCACAGAATTTAAATAATGCCTGTTTTATAAATTGCAGCTGTAATATCTCCTTGTTGTTGAATTATACAACTTTGATTATCGTTTTCATAAACTATTATAGGAGATTTGTTATCTGGTTCTAATTTAGCAACTTGATTCGCTATGGCCGACATAATGCCAGCACTTTCAGCAGACGCTTTGCCCTTTACTACAATAAATAAATATAAAGTAAATGAGCTAGCACTATTTTTATTTTATGTTGTATATGTGTATGTTTTACCTCCTATACATAAACCCTGCTTATCAGAAAAAATGCACCCACTTATACCTGGCACGGTCAAGCTAAAATAAGTTTTGTAATAATAAAAAAAATAATAAAAGCAAGTACAGGACCTACACTTCGTCCATAACTCTATCTAATTGTTTCTCCATATCAATGAACACCTATTTGTTATCACCACACTAATATCGAAAGTGAAAACAATTATTCATCATCTATTACTTTTTTCTACAAGCTGACTTATTATCATTAATTTTTTATTTATAAATACATATTTATTACAACCACATCACAACATTGCTATTGCTTGATATCAAGAGTTCGTAGCACGATCGTAGTTCGTAGTTAGCCGTAGACACTGTTGCCAACCTACTACAGGAAAAAATCCCACGCGCAGGTCCAAAAAGTCCCATATTTTCTCTAAAAATCCCTTCAACTTATAACTATTATTATTTTTTAATTTGTTAATTTAATCGTTTATTCGAAGAAAAAAATAGACAATATTTCTGTAAACATGGACAACTTTTCGTGTCGATAGCATTATACCGATAATTTTATTGTATGCAGTTATCTCGTTTCCCAAAAATGCAGACAACACCAGGCCTTGGGGGTTTAGATGTTTGGATTTCGGAACAATACACCAACTGAAACATTTATTTTTATTAGTTTTAACATCTGTTTCTGATCTGTTGACTCTCAAGAAGACCATACAATATACAATTCAAAAGAGTTCAAGACAATTTATTGTAGGGAGTTGAGCAGGTACTTGCAGGCTGCATCAGCAGGCTTGAAAGCAGGTCGCCGTCGTATATCAACTGTTTCATCGTACAGCATAATGTGTAATCTAAATGTCAGGTCAACAAAATTAAACAGAACTAATCAGAAAATAGCAAATTACAAAAAATCCCGCGAAAATAAGGAAAAATCCCTTTATCCCTCGAGAACATCAAAAATCCCTCGAATCGGGATAAATCCCTCGAAGTGGCAACACTGGCCATAGTTAATAGATACACAAAGGGTAGTTAGCAAAAGTAGATAGCAATAGATAGTTTATAACCATAGATAAGTTTGTCTTTATCATCGACGTCTACTAATGGACGTGCCTTAGCGGTCAGAATTATGGTACAACGAAAGAAAGAGATGGAACGAAGTTTCGGACAATATCTATCTCTCTCACGATAGTGCGTAAGCTGTCATGAAAGAGATAGCATTAGTCAGAAACCATACGCCATCTCCCTCACTTTTCGAGCCAAGAAATTATTACAATGACATACGGCTAAGGCACGTCCATACTTTACGTCGATGGTCTTTATGACATAGTTTATGATTGTGGCTATGATCTATGGTTTACCATAGATAAAAGGTTTTATCGTTCATCTTAAGGTCCAAAAAGTAATTGTTCGTCAGAGATAATCGTTTGTTCCCCTTTCATTTATTTTTAAAAAATTAAACAAATTTTCACTTTCAACATAGCCCCCACTCCTTGTAAAAAAATACTTTTTTTGCTTTAAATCGATCAATTGATATTCAGAATCGTTTGTTCGACGATTATCTATGTTTGTTCGACTGTAAATTTGTAACGTTTAATTACAATTTTTTTAACATTTTAAGGTTTGAAATTAAATTAGTAATTAAAAGTTTACGATTAGTCAACAGTTTTTTTAAATAAATTGTAAAATAAGAAAGACACTTATATGTAATACTGAAACGAATTTTTCTTATACACCATTTACAGCTTTAAAAAGCAAAGCTTTTTCTATATATTTTTTATAATAGTTTAGTTATACTTCACGTACTCACACTTGTATAATTTATTATTATTTACTCCACAATTTAAGGAAATGGTTGTAGGTCAATCTTACAAGAAACAATTGATTGATATTAACTATACATTAGTGAAAGTCCCATTTCAATTATTAAATAAGTCGTTTTTGTGAGAATGAAAAAAATTAAACCATTCTCCTTTATATATGTACTCTATTAGATAACACGATGAGTAAAAATATCTCTGATGAAAATGAATTGGTTTATTATCATTCTTGTACCTTTCTGGGTACTTTTCGAGGCGAATCTTTATCTTTATTATACGAATTTCTTGTGTCTCTCCGGGATCGGGATTCTCTTTTCGGGCACTTAGCTAAGGGGCCTATAAATGAAATCGAAAACCCATTCCAAAGTTTCATAATAAATTCTGGCAAATTTAGTTTTTTCTGAAATAGTTTTTTTTTGTAGATTTACAGAAAAGATTTTGAATCTGACGCCACTTAAAAAAAACTGAACACAAAATGAGATAGTTTCACTTCATTAAAGTGTCCAATGCTGATGAGATAAACTTATGTTGAAAGAGATATGTAGACTTTGTGAACGCACCGAAGTACGAGACTTTTTCGCTACTTTAAAAATTCAGAATAATGTAGTAATAAAAATGATCTTTCGGAATGTACCTTTATTATGTTTTGTCTTACGCAACTATTTGTACTAGCGAAAAGGTCAGTTGCACACTGCTTTCCTGGCCGAGAATTCAAAGAGAGGACAAAGATCTTCGAAACAAGACAAAAATTTCTTAGAATAAACCAAGAAATTTAACACCGTGAAGTTTTGCCGTATGTTTAATTAACACTATATATATATAAAAGCAAAACAAAAATACTGGTATGCAAGGGCAGAAAAAATAGGGAAAGAACAAATATAAAGATAGGAGACGACAATTAGAAGAAGTTGCTGATTTTCGGTATCTAGGAAGTCAGATAAGTCTGGACGGAAGGAGTAGTAGGGATATAAAGCAGAGGAAAGAGCAGGATCGAGTCGCTTTCAATAAAAAGGAGTCACTTTTGTGCTCGCGACCACCTACATTGGGTTTTCTCCCCAACACTCCCTTCTCCTCCCAACCTTAACCCTCCCCAACTCAGGCCTATTCCCAATCCCCAGCCTTCCACTTTCTGCCCGGGGATGAGCAACCCACAGGAGGGGTTTTAATCGGTAAGAATCCGACACTACCTCTCTTCAGGGGGTGTCTTTTGAATATTTCTCCTCCTCGAGGATAAACTAATTAAAAAAAGTGCTCGCGAACGGTTAATTTAGAAATTCGAGAAAGGTTGTTAAAGGTGTATGTTTAGAACGTGGCGTTGTACGGGTGTGAAACATGATGAGGATACAGTGGATAGAGATAGTTAGAAATGAAGAGGTATTAGAAAGAGTAAGAGAAAAGAGGCTCTATGGAAGGCAATAAGAAGTAGGCGAGATAAGTTAGTAGGACACCTTCTCAGGCATGAAGGTCTAGTCAGAGACATAGTAGAGGCAGAAAGGGGAGTCAGGAAGAGTAGAGGTAGACCTAGATTAGATTAGTGTTCGCAAACAGTTAAAGATGTCGAATGTTCTAGTATTAGTGAAATGCGAAGATTAACTCAGGATAGGAAAGAGTGGAGGTGCGTGTCCAACTAGTCTTAGGACTGACGACCTTATGATGACGATGATGACGTGAACTATCTTAATTATCTGAAATTAGTCACCTATTAAAGCGCTTAATTGTAATTAAAAGACGAAAATGTCTTATTAGGGCTAGGGACTTTCATACACACGATGCTGTCGGTTAACTGTAACTTTTCATTAAAAATCATAAAATTTTTGACGCGTTGAACGGTCTCCCTGACTGGTACATCCTTTTTATCCTTCTCGGTTTTCTGGTCATTTATGAACCTATAAAGTTGACCATTGACAACGGTATCCATCGTAAACTTTGAACAGATTCAACTAATCGCCTTAACAAATATTTACTTTCTTCAAATTGTGTAAGACACCATCATATACATATATAAATATAATAAACACATAAGAACCAGACGGGGTGTTGATACTATTTAAAATTATTGTCAGGTATATTATACTTCTAAGATCAACATAATCAATTAGAATAAACGATGTAATCTTACTCACCAATATTGATAATGATAGTAAATATAGTTAATAAATTGACCAGAGGGGAGATGAAGGCGTGCGTGCTCAAATATAAACATAGTTGGCTGGCTGGCGACTACATGATAGTAAGGTGACGACAACAATACATTCTCGACCACAGGAAACCATAATTACATGTAAGAAATAAATACACTTACCGATCTGTTGATAAGATCATGAGGTAATTATGTACTCACCGGGGTTCCTAGGAACCCCTGCCCTTCTGGAACACTTGCGAAGTGTCTCGCCAGTCTAACAATCGGCAGGTAGGGTTATCCATCAGTCGGTGGATAGTACCTGTAATCATGAGTTTGCGCTCCCGCGCCTCCAGATGGAATTCGCACATACTGGAGACCAACAGGGTAGGACGAACCTAACCCTGTGTCGCTATAGTACCGAGCCCACCCCAAGCAAGGCAAGTACGTACTATAGGCATCACCGGAGATATCTGCGTCTCTCCTGACATACTGGGGTTAGCAGAATACGTGACCTCAGTCACTACGAGCCCAACTGATACGTGACCTCAGTCACTACGAGCCCAAATAAACACCATGGCCACAAAAACGTGTTAACACATAAATATTTCTCGAGAACAGTGCACAATACAATTACATACGTATATATACCAATTATATGTGATCACCTTAATAAACCAATAATATGCTACACATATTATCTACGCACAATTATGCCACACATATTATCTACGCATAATCGCATAATATTCGCATGATAATCGCACATGCAACGCAGCGCAACGCATCGCATCGCTCACCACTGCACTTGTCAACAGACAACTATATACTCTATATTCAATCTCACCCTCACATGTTTTTATGTGGTTCCTTCTTTGGTC